CCCCCCCCCCAGTATATTCTGGGTTTCAAGTACCCCAGCAGGGATAGGGTTAAATAATATCACTGTTTGGAAAATTAACCAAGTAGTAAGAATAAACGAATGCCTAATAATTAAAAGATTTCATAATTAGAAAAACAAAAAGTTTATCGATCATTGTAGAGGATAATAATTTGAACAAGTGGAAAATGAGTAAATAGTTAAAAACACTTTTCAATTGCATTCATTCTTGAAATTGTCCAAATCGAAAGAAATATTTATGAAGTAATTTTAAGATTTAATTTCATATTGAAATAGTGAAGGTTTGTTTGTTTTTGAGTTTTATTTGCTTTAAGTTATATTTATTTCATGTTGCAATAATTTGTTTACCTTTAAGCTTCGAACTGTTGACGTAATGTAGCAGTGGAGCAAAAATGATGATTTTGCAAACACAGAAAATTTAGCCCTATTTTCTGTTGTACATATTCTAGCGGGTGAAATCTATTTTTAACCTGATGCCGAGTTGAGAGGCCCGAAGGAATCCAAGGTGGAGTTCACCTGGTATTTTGGAGAAAATAGGGATTCCCGACGAGAGTGAGCAGGTCAACCTGGACAGAAACAAGAGTCAGTCGATAATGATCTACAGTATCAGGAGGAGGAGGAGAATAATAGTGGTTTTCTGTCAGATAGTCTTGTAGCTCAATTCCCTGCAATCTACATAATAACCGTTTGATATCATATTTTCGTTTAAATAAAGTATTGTCTCGTGAATCGTTTAATATTTGGGTTGGTGTAAACTATTAGTAGTTTGGTTGAACATAGCAATAGGCTAATTCTTTATATAGTAAAATAGCTTCAAGTGACCTGAGATGGAATTTAAAGAATTTGAGCCGCGGTTTAAATCTGCCAAAACCCGGTTTATCAGTCAAAGGAAACCAAAACATACTGCCAACTCATATTTCCCCAGTTTTCCCCATGTCTCACCAAACTGCAAGTATGACGTCATGAAGGTTAATGCATATTTTCTGACATCATTTTTTCTTTTTTCATTATAATATGTTAATATCATAATTATTTTAAAACTTTAAACTTTTCCCAATTATTCAATTAAAATTTGTTTTTTAAGGAAAATTGATTATTTTTAATTAGGGGTTCTCTGTAAGTGTGACAATAAAGGACTTTGCTAGAATTTAGCAGTAAACACCCGTTAATATTAGAAAACGATGATATCCTTCCCATTTTTACTCTCAACAGAGGTTACAGGGAACCGCTGTGAATGAAACCTCCCGCTTTAGAACTGAATTAGATTGAACTAAAATAGAGTGAATAGACTCATGTTTTAATGTTTTATTGTTTAAGTTGGAAGATAAAGTCCTTTCAGTATTTTCAGGTTTTTAATTTATCTAAAAACCTTTAATAGTAAACCTGAAGTTTAGAAATAGATCTAGAACTAAATACAATACAGTGAGAACCAGAATATGAAGACAACATGAAAGTAATACTGATGTTGTTACAAAGAAAATTACTGTTTACACTGCACAATGGAATTGAACATTTATTGGACTATTTAATGTCATAATTCTTGAGTTTTTCTGTTTGTCACTGTATGTATATATGTAATAAATATAGTGATATCCCTAAATCTTTGTATCCTGTATATATAGGTTCGTTATAATTCGTTCATTTACCTATACCATTAAAGATCTAAATAAAGTTATTGGATAGACTCTGTTCATCGTTTGGTAGAGAGGATAGAGTCTAATAGCTTTGTGTGTGGATAAATATAGACTTAGAGATATTTTGGAGTGACGCATTTGTTATATATATATATGTGTATTTACAGATGTTCTCATAATTCTCAAGTTATTAAATAATTTTATGGTCCGCGTATACTTTGAAGTGTCGCAAAGACTTTTGCTTTGGAATTGGCTTTTTAACCTGGTTCAACCCATTCTGATATCTTTTGATGGTAGACACATTCTGATAATAGATTAGTAGATATATATATATAGATAAATAGATGAGTTAACTCTTGTAATAAAGATATATAGATAAATTAATGTCTAATTAAAGATTTGGTCAGACCCATCAAACAGTTTGTCTCGGAAAATATATGTTTAAACATCTAAAAGGAATATCAAAGCTGAAAACAAAGTTAGAATATAAAAATATTTCATAATATAGATATATTTACATAAACAGACAGATTGACATATAGATGGATAGATAGATAGATGTTGTATTCTGGTAGGATGGGCAGCAAGGATGGGTTTATATATTGATCCTCTCTTCACAGCCTCCAGTATCTTGAGCAGCCTTTTTTAACTGTCATTAGGCTACAGAGCGTTCCATTTCATATTAGATTATCTCCAATCTTTAGCACGTAAATACGCACATTATACTAAGAAAATCTAGCATTTTCTGCAAAAAAAATTTCTATTAGCCTTATTAAATTTTTCAAAATGATTCATTCTTCTTAAATTTTCTAATTTGTCCCCCAAATCGTAATTTAGACCCATTGACGCGGTCTAATTTGATGTGGGACACCCTGTATATACCGAGAGCGTACTGCATATTTGTTTATTATAAGTTGATTCTGGCCTAACCTATAGTATATCAATATTAGTAAACAGTTGTAAGTGTACAGTACAGCTAACTGAGCACACAGGTAGAGAACTATCATCCCCTCTGGTATTTTTACTGATGTATCAATTCTTTTGTAGAATTTAAAAAATTTGAATTTTAAAAAGCATTTTTAAAAACCTTTCCCCGGGAATGTAAGGTTCCAAAAAAGTTTAGTCATTTTAACAATGTAAAAAAAAAATGCAAACAGACAAGCAAAGTATGATATATGATGCAATACCAAATACACTGTGCATGGTCACACACTAAGCATGAGACTTGATGAGGACCAGCAACACAATCTGAATGTCAAAGTTGATCCTCGGCCTTGAATATCATTTTTAAGGGCTTCAACTAAATAAAAAAACAAGCTAACCAGATGCATCAAACGAGTTATGCAAGCAAAAAGATTAAATACATTCCAACAAAAAACGATAAGATCATAACTTTTTGAAAATCAAAACGATACAAATCCTTCTTTTCATTGTTCATAAAAATGGTTAACAGCTCCAACTGCACCCTTATCCAGAAATATTATTATCTCTCTTAAAGATTGAACATCGCCAACAAAAATGTTATTGCTTGAATCCCAGACATGGTCAGCAAAATTATTCTATGCCCTTCCCCTCCCCTCCTTAGATTTGATTCTGTCCTTTAACAAAACATATCATGAACGTTCAGAAACATATCCGAAAGTTTGATTTTTTGATACTTAATGTGCCAATAATTTGCATTTAAATCCTTTAGTTTTTATTAAATATATCTTATAAATGTGCTGTGTCTTAATTGCAAAATTATAACCCTCTAAACATCTAGCATCTGAAGTTTAAAATCTGTGCATTTTAAATTTCTTTTATTATATTACATATAAACTTAAAACACTTTATTAAGGATGATAATTTAGTGATAAATACTTGTTTTTTCTTAATCAAAATAAAATGCAGGGATCATTATCTATAAAGGGATCTATAAAGTACATCTTTAGCACAAGGGTGCTTATAGTCATCGGTACTTGCTTCTTCTGATCATCATCATCAGTCCAAGAATGACTTTCTCGCTTTGATACTGAATTTGTGACCTTTAGGGCAATGGACCCTAAATCCATTTTTGGATTATCTGTTATCACTTTGCAAAGGCTTTCCATAAACCATGATCCATTATCGTTTCTGTAGCATCTGAATCCGGTGTATGATGCTTTGAAAACAAACATATCTGCAGGATTTGGAATTTTTACAGTTTTAAATCTGTTATGTCTGTTACCTTCTGTCCCATTATTATCAGAACTATCACAGATCTTGTGCTGAACAGAAAAACCAGAATCAGCCTGGCCCCCTTGGCATGCTTGTATAAAAAATAATTTAGGTTTCCCGGCAAGAGAAGGACACTTATCAGCAGTCAAATTTTCAATAACATCTTTGTTCAGATTGTAGCTACCGTCTGATGCATAAATTGTATCGTTTTCTGAGCCATGGCTCATGATAAAAATAGCTAAACAGCTAAGATCCTTTAACTCCTGAATACTTTCTATTTTTTTTTTATTTTTGCTTCTTTTTGATCTTGAAGAATATATTTCTCTTCCACTGTCCAACCCAATCCAGAAAAGGTTTCTTTGATACGTCTTACATCTTCATTGCTGCCACCTCTCTCAGGAAGTTTCTTGTGTTCAGGTTGACCTTTGTTGTACTTATCAAACTTAACATTGTTAATAATCATTACCAGTTTTAGGCCACAAGATATATTGTAGCTATTAGGATTGTGATCTATAGCTGGTATTAAGGAAACCCTCTTTGAATTGCTTGCCAAATTAGGACCATTCTTGTGTTCTGACTCTTCATCAGATTTTGATTCCATGGTAGACCTTTTCTTTTTACTCTTAGCTTTTTCTTGCTGACTCATCCTAGTAAAATAAAACAAAATATATTCTGATTTAATTAATTAGTTAAGTCACATTGTTAAAGAACTTTAGGTGAAATTTAAGGTCACCTACACTAGTCAAATGTAGGTTTTTATGATAAATTTAATTGTACAAAAAATCTAACCTTTCAGGGTTTTCCCAGGTATCTTAGGTAACAGATTCATGAAGAGAACGAATTATTTGGTGTACAGCCTAAAAAGATAATTGAGTATCTTAGCTTTACCCCTGTCTTCTTATACAAATACTCATATAATAATTCCGTAATATCCTGGTTTTTATTGTCAATTGATTTTAAAATCACCATTTAAAGGTCTAAACTGAAGAAATAAAACATATGCTAGGGGCAGATTTTGCAGTGAGACTGGTATGCTTTGCACTGTTGCAGTATTGTTTAGTTTGTAAATTTCACTCATTTATTGTCAAAATGTATCAGAAAAAGTATGATTTTTGGTAATTTTCCATCGTTTTATGCTCAAGATAATATTTTCAATGCTTATTTCCCGTGATATCCTTCCATTTTTGGAGCTTTGAGGAATAACACTTTATGTCTGCCAATGACATGTCTAATCTGACCTTATAGTTTATTTGTTCAGTTTAGACTTTTAAATGGTGTTTTTAAAAGCAATTGTTAGAAAAATTGGAATACGGAAATATTAGATGAGATTTTACATAGTAATACAGGGGCAAAACTCAGATACTCAATCATATTTTTAGGATGTACACCAAATATTTCTTTCTCTTTGTAAATATTTTACCTAAACTACATGGGAGAACCCTTAAAGGTTAGATTTTTTTGCATTTGAATTTATCTTAAAGGGAGTGACCGGCTATGTAAAGTAGTTGAACTGAGTATGCAGTGTTGTGAAAAGCTTCTTTCGGATTCATTTGAGAAAATAATAAACTTTTTAAGATCTGTAAATCCTGAGTTTTAGCGCAAATTCGATGTTCAAAACGTTTTCAGAATTAGTTTTTTTTAAATTATTAAATAACGACGACATAAAATGTAAAAAAGTTCTACAATAAACTACAGACGTCATGCATAGGAACATGTTGAGAAAATGAAAATTAATCTTTTCATCGAAAATAAGTAATCTTGTTCAATTATTAGTTTCTATTATCTCATTATTCTGGTTTCTCATTACTCACAAAGATGTTCGCAGATTTTTTAGAATTATTATTGAAAAGACGACATTTTAAGAATTTGAAGAAATCTGCGAATAGATTCAAAGAAACAAAGAAATTCAATATAATAATGAAAACGAAATAATCGATTTTAGCATTGATTTATTGACAAATTTCTTTTGAGAAATATGTTCCTAACCATCTAACTAGGTTACTGCATAATTTTTACTTTATTGTTCGTTGTCGTTATTTAATAATTAGAAAAAAACTAACACTGAAAACGTATCCACCCCCAAAGTAGGAGTTTTAAACGTCAAATTTGCTCTCAAACTCAGGATTTACAGATCTTTAAAAAGTTTAATATGTCTCAAATGAATCCGAAAGAAGTTTTCCACAACACTTCATACTCAGTTCAACTACCTTACATAGCCGCTCACTCACTTTAAAACTCTACATTTGACTAGTGCCTATCAAGTTCCTAATTAAATGGAAAGGTCACTTGAAATCATGTGCACAGTCCCTTTAAGGTGCTAATTTTAGGTTTTTTATTTTCCAATTTTAAAGACTTTTTTCATCTTTCAACTTTAGAAGTCTGTTAGAAAAAGCTACTCCACAGAACATGCAAAATGCTAAGTTTGTGGCAGACAATAAAGTATGCTCTTTGACCTAAAAAGAATGGAAATATGACAAATGTTTTAAATTTCTTAACTGATTCCACCGTCCTCAAAAATTCATGCTTTGGTTTCAAGCAGGTTAAAGAAAGTTGAATAAAGTTCCACTTAGGGATTCAGCTTACTTTATTCCCTTAATGCCAACGTGTATCACAGTTGTTGAAAATCAAAATTGCCTTGACTTAATTTTTGCATGTGAAGTGAAGGATCAAAAAGTTTAAAAACAAAAGAATGAGCAACCCAGAATTGAAAATTTTTTTCAATTTCAATGTTAAAAATTTTAAATTGTTAGAGCTTTACAATGTACCAAGAGAAAATATTACTGTATAAAGGCAATCTAGAATCATATTAAACATGCAGAAAATGTATTACCTCCCCTGTACTCAACTTGAAACTGAATATCAAATATAAAAGTCTTATCTCAAAACTTTAATAGTTTGGGTGCTAGGGAGGGTTAAAAAAAAGGCCAAAAAAGGGTCAGAAAAATGAAAAAAAAATTTTGTTTTTTAAAACAAATATCAAAATGTTTCTTTATCCATTTTTCAAGGGCTTTCCAGAAAAATTGTTTTTAGATATACAGCTTTAGTCACAAAAAAGTTAAGGGCTACTTTAGATTTTATTTTCCAAAGACCGGACTTTTTTTCACGCTGTACCCAACCCTATACATTAGAAAATAAACGGCTGGACCGAATGAGCTGACATTTTTTGTTTGGTGAGGGTTTGTTATAGACTAAAAAAAATCTAAATTCTTTTCACGGGCAACGCCGGGCCCTTCAGCTAGTCGTACATATTAAGGATTTTAGGACTCCCACCTCTCCCTCTGCTCCCACTAAATTATACATTGCTAGGCCCAGAAATTATCTAAGCTTATTCTTTTAACCCTAAATTTAAAATATATAATTTAAAGTATATTTACGGCCGTGAGGAACTTTTTATTATAAAATCGTATTTTTTTTTTTACTTTTTAACCAACTCTTTTCTATAAAACGTTTGTCTTGGATGGAATTTTTCTTTGACTAAGAACGGAACGAGAGGGATGGATCCGTTCTTTAAATAAGAACGCCAAGAACGGAAAGAACGGAACGGAATGGGAAGACAGTTCTTCTACTCAGAACGGAACGGAACGGAAAGAGAACAGAATGATAAAAAAGGAACAAGAACGGAACAGTTTAGCTGAAGGCCCTTGTTCTAGAACGGAACAATTTCAAAAAAGTTGGAACGTGCCCAGCCCTACATTAAAAGTCACAACATTTTGGTCATGAATTAAAATTTTCAAACTCCTAGATCTTTTCAACCCAAATGTGTAAACCTTTGATATTTCAAACTTAGATTATTAGGTCTAACAGAATTCATAGTTTGAAATATCAAAGGCTTACATGATCAGTTTGAAAAAATTTAGGATTTAGAAAATTTAAGTTTATGGCAAAATTCAATTCCTCTATGAGAAGATCTATATATATACAATTTTGTATAAAAATAGTAGGTTTAAACAGATCATATTCAGCAAAGATGCTGTGGGAATTCTGGTCACATTATATGGACATATAAATAATTATATGTATAATTATGTATAATAATCATCAATTTAATCTATTAAAATAAAAATTATTAAATTTAAATAATAATAGGAACAAACTTAAGTTACTCAGGCTCCTCTGGGATATGGTCGTTTTCAGATTGGTTGCATATTTGCTGATTATGATCTGTTTAAACTTACTATTTTTATACAAAATTGTATATATATAGATTTTCGTTTAAATTTCAAACAGTTTTATATCAATTTCTCAAAACAGGAACATCAGATAGAACTTTCATGGGTCTCGATCAACTTCTAAAATGCTTAGGTTTCAGCATATACCCCTTTCATTTTACCTTTACAGTCCCTTTAAATTCCATAAAACTTGTCAAAAATATATTATTTTTATTTTAATTTTCTCTGCTATAAATAGTAAAAAAAAACATTTATGGCTCATTAACAGAAAGTGGTTTTTCCAACTTATCTTAAGTTAACAGCATAATAAGATAACAAAAACTAAAATAAAAAGGAAAATACAGGTAATTGAACAGAATGTTCTGTTCTTATCTAAGAATTATTGGATATCTAGCTGAATAGCTTGGCTTATGAAGAATTTAGCTACCTGATAACTTAACAACATGTTTGAAAAAAGTCTGAAATTGCCCAGTCTTAAGTAAGCTCACTAATAAGCTGATAACATTTTTATTTCTATTTTATTACATAATTATTTCATTATTAAAAAGATTTATTCATACACAAAGATATAAATACATGAATTTGTTTAAATAAATTTTTGAATATATAATTTTACAAAAGAAAAAAGAAAAATATGCAAAATTATGCACAAATAGGCGACATTGATCATTACTCATTCCATAACATATTTATCATTTCAGTTATAACATAATCATCAATTACTTAAACATATAAATTATTCGTTCTTGTATTTAAAAATGGAACTTTCCATGCATGGTCCAATGGGACATCAAAATATTTCCCTTGTTTCTTAACTATCATTTTACTATAATCAGAAAGATTTACAGATCAATCGTTTGCAATAGAAAATAAATTTCTGCCAGAACTATGTTATGGTCATTTTTGCATAAATTAGAAAGAAATCTAATGCAAAGCTTAGAACTTGCTTCAATAGTCTCATAGAAAGAAAACACATCTGCTAGCTAACATAGTTTTTACATGTAAACATTGTGAAATACTTTCAATAAAGTACCTATGCATATCTCTAGGTACATTAAAAAGAATTCTAATAGCAGTATTCCATGCTGTATACAATTTTGAAACAAATTGGGAACTCAAGTTCCAAATACTAGATTCATAAAAACTACAACAATAAATATTATACAGTTTTGAAATAACATCTGGACTGTTAACATAAAATTCTTGGTTAAGGGAATGAATTTTTAAAATGAAAATAGCTCGTTTTTTATTGCAATCTATGGTCATTGAATTATCACTTTGCAGAACATTTCCTAAATGTTTTAAGTCATTGACAAATAGTAAAGGTAATTCATTCAATAAAATTGGGGTTATTTCATTATAATTAATCCTTTCTTTAGAAAAAATAAGGCATTTAGTTTTGTATTTTTTGATTCAAATATTTGTACTAAATTTCAGTTTAGTAGCTTTAGCAAAATTTTCACAAATTTTCACCATTTCCTGAAGACCTGTTCTGCTAGGAGAAAGCAGAATAATAACATCTGCATATACCCAGATGTACATATAGACACCCTGGATTTGGCATCCAATTGTTGAACAGCGTAATAACTTGATAACTTTGCCAATGTATATACAGAATGGCACAGGGGAAGAAACTGCTCCTTGTCTGACTCCAAAAATGAACATTAAACACCTTAATGCTATAGGTGATACACCCCTCTTCAATAACTTTGAGAAGAGCACTTCCCATGACACAAGATCAAATGCCTTACTTAGATCCATTGCACAAGCATAAACTGCTCTACCAGCTCTGTTGTAATAATCCACTACAGAGTTGATCCCCATCTGAACATTGTAGTAGGACACAACTAATAAATACTTAGACAGGTCAATTATGAAGGATCAATTCCTGTGCAATGGCAAACAAAGAAATTTTTTTCATTATTGTAATACTTACTGTTTACTGGAATGTCATTGTCAATTTAAATGTAAATATCTTTCAGGTTCTGACTGAATATGAATATTAAAAGGAATATGATCTTTCTTGAACGTAAGATTTTATCCTTTGAGATCATTGTCAGTAAAGAAGGGTCAGGATAATATATTACTATCCTTCTCCATCTTATTTCTTTTCTTGGATTCTAGTTTGATCTAACTCACATAATACTGACATTTGTCAAATTTTAAAGTAGAGTTAAAAATATTTCCAGCTTGTGTTTCTCCAAGTGTTGGCTCTTCAATCTGTAAACTTGGACAACATTGATTGTTTAAGGAAAAAATAAAATCCTGGGGTGTTTTGAGATCCAATATTCCCCTATTGAGAATTTGAGGGTTAAGAACTATCTCTGACTTTCTATCCTGCAATAATTTAGTAATTAAAATTCACACAATTTTTTTGATTGGTTTAATTGATTAGATTTAATGATCAAATTGTTAAATTATTATGTATATTTAATTAGAGAAGTAATATAGAAAATATAATATTTCTATGCAAAGAATTCAATGAATTGGACTAATGTTGCTGTCCTACCTATCACCGGTTAAGTTCCTGAATCAAAGTTAAAGAAGATTTGAATCAGTGATTTAGGATTTGAGGGAGGGAGGTTGTGTTTTAAACTGATTTGTCTCTGAAAATGTGCTCTGAACATATTTGGATAGATAATGTAAGCTAAGTTGCAAAATTTTAGCGATATTTTATAATTTAACAAACAAAAGTCAATGAATGTTAATAAAACATGTTAGCAGACCTATTTTAAAGCAAGTGGCAGAACTATACAGGGGAATTGAAATAAAATAGGACTATAATTTATTTACTAAAAAAATTTAAAAATCAAATTTATTTAAGCTATGCATGCAAAATCATATTTAGGAAATTAGGGTTTTCAATTACTTCTGGATCAAGTTGGATCCATCAAGGCCTTACAGAACCTTTCCTAAAGCTGTTAAAATGATGGTCCAATAAAAGCTTTTGAAACTTGACATTTCTTAACTAAACTAAGAATAAATCTGGCTCCTATTTGCTACATAAAGTTACAGTTTACATGACAATTGTTCCGCATTCTTTAAACTTTTTTCAACACTTCACACCTAGATCTGTTAATCAGTTAGAAAGGTTCCACCCTTTAGGTTTATCAGTTCTAAGAGCTTCAGGATAAGTCTGTAAGGACTTTACAAAAACAAATTGATCCAAGTTGTTAAAACCCTTATCAAAATCATTAATTTTCATTCTTTTATCAAAGATATATAAATCAATGATGAAATAGAGTTATAATAATAACGGATCCAAATTGATCCAAATTGTCAAAACCATTATTAATATCATTAATTTTCATACTCTTATCAAACTTATATAAATCAATGATGAAATAGATTTATAATAATAACAGATCCAAATTGTCAAAATCCTTATCAAAATCATTCATTTTCATACTCTTATCAAAGTTATAAAATTAATGATGAAATAGATTTATAATAATAACGGATCCAAATTGATCCAAATTGTCAAAACCCTTATTAAAATCATTCATTTTCACAATCTTATCCTGTCATAAATATCAATCACAGTTGAGTTTGTAATATTTTAATGTTTCTAATGATAATTTTATTTACACTTTTGAAAAATCATTTAGATATAGTTAATAATCTACAAAAAATCATATTTTCGATTCACGATGAAAGATAAGTAAGTTAAAAAAGAAGCTAGGTAAGCAAGGTAAGGCTTTACAGTTTTTTAAGTTCTATTTTTTTTGTAAATAACAAGTAAACTATTGGCACTAGCTCGATTTTAATATTTGTACAATCAAAGTAAATAATGCCTGATATCATCAGTCTTTTGTTTTACTTTTCCCCTTTAAGCTTGAATAAATCACTTTAAAGAAACTCTGTTTCCGTGGTGAGCTGACTTGATCTTTAGATCCCTGATTATGTGGAGAAACATTTTCATGGGCTTTTGAGCCCTCAGAGAGTTTACAAGGAGTGGATGCTTCAGAAGTCTGAACAGCAGAAGCATTCAAGCCGTGGATTTCAGGTGCACTACACAGCTGGTTTGACTGTACAAGAGAGGTATTAGTCGGAAAAGAATGGGGCTTCTGAGTTTCTAGTGCCTTGACGGTCTGCCTTGTATGAGTGATTGGTTCCTTAAGATATATCTTCCGCATGAGGGTGCTTTGCATCTTTGGAACTTGCTTCTTTTCATGAATTTTCTTGTCGTCTGAACTGCTAACCTTTTCCATGGACACAAATGCTGTGACCTTCAAGGCAATAGAAAATAAATCCATGTCTGCAGAACTTTCATCAATAACCCTGCAAAGGGTTTGCATAAACCAGGATCCTTCATCACTTCTGAAACATCTGTATCCATTGTATGATGCTTTAAACACAAATATGTCTGCATAACTTGGTATTTTTACATGCTTATAGACTGTATTTGGCTCCACAACAACAGCATCTGAAAAATCTTGTTTCTTTGTTGGAGACCTGAGTTTAACAGAAGTTCCTGAGTCAGTATTTCCCCCCTGGCAGGCTTGCACAAACACCATCTTAGGTTTGCCAGCAAGAGAAGGGCACTTTTCCGCTGACAACTGTTCAACCACATCTTTGCACAAGTTGTAGCTTTGGTCATCAGCCCAAATTGTATCGTTTTCCTCACCGTGGCTCATGATGAAAACTGCAATGCAGCTAATCTTGACAGTTGAACTCTGGATGATTTTGATTTGTTCTTCAATTTGGTCTTTAGTTGGATCTTGCATAACAAGGTCTTCTTCTACCTTCCAACCCAACTCAGTAAAGGTTTTCCTAATACTAGTTACATCCTCATCACTGCCGTTTCTTCTATCTAGTGAACGTACAGTTGTCTTAAACTCCACATTGTTGATAATGATTAGTATCTTTACACCTGCTGCTGCAGAAATGTTGTATCTATCAGGATGATACTCCAGAGTATTCCTTCGAGGAACATTTCTTGATGAGCTTGGAACATCAAGAGTATTTTTCAAGACCATAGGAACTGCCTCTAGTTCCACAGAAGTTTTCTCTTTCTGCTCAGCTGATACCGGGTTAGTCATCCTCTTAACAAAAAGAATCTGTTATCTTGCATACTTTTAGAATAATTAAATAGGGATTTTCTCATATAATGTTTTATTAGTGAAATAACTGACTTTTGTATACAATTTTGCAAAGTAGGATCAGTAGCATTATGAGAAGACCATTAACCCCTTAAAATCCTGGAGGATTAAAAGATTGGTCTATGGTACTAGCCATTGCCATATTTTTCTGACCTTTATATTAATTAGAGTGTTATTTAGACAAAATTTACAAAATCATGTTTTAATTCAAATCCTTCTATATTTTTGTTTCTTTCTTATTTGGCATATTGTATGGAAGCAATAAAAAAAATACACTAACACAACAAATATTCTTGGATATTTGGCATTAAAGGAGTTCCTCTAAATATAAGAGATCCAAAATGATTCAAATTTTTTTGTTTTTTTCAAAAATTTTGCTTTTTGGAAGACTTGAATTAAGAAAAACGTATCATTTACAAACAAACAATTTGAAAAATTGATATGGATCCATATCTTCTGTTGCAGTGAAAATGTTGTATAATGTAACAAAAGCAAATTTTTAGACTCTTAAATGCAAATGGATTTTACTTGTGCGCAATTTTGAGCCCTTTAATTTCTCGCAATTCAAAGCAATGAGGTGCAATTTAAAGCAGTAGGGCGCAATTCAAAGCAGTGGGCGCAATTCAAAGCAGTAGGGCGCAATTCAAAGCAGTGGGGCGCAATTCTGCACAACTCTGATAATTTCCACACAACAAAAGTCAAATTGGAAACCCTAATTCCCTTATTATATCCTACCCCAAATCTATTAATTCTTTTCAGTCAATAAATTGGTTTAATTAACTAAGATTGTTTAATCTTACCTCTTTTCAACTAGTTAAATATGACTACCTAGTTTAATATTGAATCATGAAAAGATAAGAGTTTTATCTCAAACATTGTGAAAATTTAAAAATGATACAATACGTCAGTAATAATTACTCATCATCTCTTGTAACTCTTTAACCCTATCTCTGCTGGGGTACTTGAAAACCAGGCTATGCTGGGGGGGGGGTCAATTTGACCCCCCCTCTAAATCCCATGTTTGATGTCCAAATATGACAAATAATACATCATTGGAAAGCTCTTGTGCTCTACTTTTAGAATCTGCAAAAAATATTGCAAATTTGCAAAAATTGAATTTTTAATCGCAAAATCCAGTTATATAGTAAAAATGTTTGCAAAAAAAAATTTGTCCAAAAAATGAAAAAGTATACATTTTTAAAAAGCCCTTGACCATGCCATTTCAAATACGAAAATTTTTTTGCAAAATTTTAAATAACCTGATTTTTAATCAAGAAAAACTAAAAATATGCAAATTTCCTTTCACAGGTTGTTTGCAAAAAAATTGCAATTGTTTTTCGCAAAACTTGTGCAATTTTCTTGTTCTTGTTCTTGTTCTTGTTCTTGTTCTTGTTCTTGTTCTTGTTCTTGTTCTTGTTCTTGTTCTTGTTCTTGTTCTTGTTCTGTTCTGGTTCTTGTTTATGTTCTTGTCCTTTCTCATGTTCATGTTCTTGTTCTTTTTCTTATTCTTATCCTTGTTCTTATTGTTCCCTTAGTTCTTATTCTTGTTTTCCTGATTTAGTTTCTCGTCCTTTGACGTGTTCATGTCCCTGCTCTTGTTCGTATTATGGTTCTTATTCATGCTCTTGTCCTTATTCTGTTCTTGCCCTTATTAATTTTCTTTGTTGTCCTTTTCATTTATCTTGTCCATATTGTTAATTTTCTTGTCCTCTTCATTTCCCTTGAAAGATAGTATTGTCCTTAATCTTGTCTAATGGTCCTTTTCTTAGTCCAATGTGCATTGTTCATGTTCACTGAACAGCGTACATTGTTCATATTCACTGTACAGCGTACATTGTTCATATTCACTGTACAGCGAACATTGTTCATATTTACTGTACAGCGTACATTGTTCATATTCACTGTACAGCGGACATTGTTCATGTTCACTTTACAGCGTACATTGTTCATGTTCACTGTACAGCTTTCATTGTTCATATTCACTGTACAGGGAACATTGTTCATATTCACTGTACAGCGAACATTGTTCATGTTCACTGTACAGCGTACATTGTTCATGTTCACTGTACAGCTTGCATTGTTCATATTCACTGTACAGTGAACATTGTTCATATTCAGTGTACAGTGAACATTGTTCAGGTTCACTGTACAGTGAACATTGTTCATGTTCACTGTACAGTGTACATTGTTCATGTTCACTGTACAGCGTACATTGTTCATATTCACTGTACAGCGTACATTGTTCATGTTCACGGTACAGAAAACCTTGTTCATATTCACTTTACAGCGTACATTGTTCATGTTCACTGTACAGTGTACATTGTTCATGTTCACTGTACAGTGTACATTGTTCATGTTTACTGTACAGTGTTCATTGTTCATGTTCACTGTACAGTGTTCATTGTTCATGATCACTGTCTAGTGTTCATTGTTCATGTTCACTGTACAGTGTTCATTGTTCATGTTCACTGTACAGTGTTCATTGTTCATGTTCACTGTACAGTGTTCATTGTTCATGTATACTGTACAGTGTTCTTTGTTCATGTTTACTGTACAGTGTTCATTGTTCATGTTCACTGTACAGTGTTCATTGTTCATGTTCACTGTACAGTGTTTATTGTTCATGTTCACTGTACAGTGTACATGAACAATGAACACTGTTATAAACTGTGCAAACATCCCTAATTTCGTCAATTCTCTAGTTCATATAACTATTGACATAATGTAATTTTCCTAAAAATAAGTGATTTTTACATTTATCTAATTCCTCCTGTTACTCGCTGTTATTAAAAAAATAGTTATTGTTTTATATTTTCGCACAATTTAAACCAATAACATGTATTTTTGTATGAAAAGAAAATTTATTTATTACTATAGGATTTAAGGGCACTTCATCGCCCATCTTCTATTTCAACTGTAAAGTAAACATTTTCATATAATTTTAAAACAAAAATAAAAACAAATTTGCGGATTTTATAAAAACAATTCGTGGATTTTTAAAATTTAATGCAAATCGAAATTTGTTGGAGGCAAAATTTTAAAATTTTGATCACCTATAAACCCTCCCTGGGAACATGTGAATATACCACACAAAATTTGGGCCCGATCAGTTCAGCCGATTATTGGAGTCAAACGGACAGACAAACAGGCAAACAGACAAGCAAAGTATATATATATATAAGGCTGAAATAAAGCCTTACAGGACCTATGTACGTTATTCATGAATTTGCTAGACCCATTCTTTTTGTAACAAACCCAATATCTTAGAAATGCTCCTTATTCCGACCATTCGCCCAAATTTGAAACTTATAATGGAAAAATGTGTAAATTGATGAACTATGCTTGAGTTTATACCTTAGTAAAAAGTGTCAACCCCCTTAAATGATTTCAATTCTCAAGTGAAAGCTTAAGATTTGTAATCTTGCCGCTGTTTGGCTGCGAAAGAGCATTTAAGACATTTTGTCTCTGAAGATTTTCTCCCTATTGGTGGATTTTCCTACTGACGTCATAGCTAGGGAAGCTAGGCATTCATGCAGTTTAGGCTTTTATAAACCTCGCAACCAACCAACAAACATCAAACCTTTGTAAACACAAAGAGTTTTAACACAAAAGACAAATTATTAAGAAAGTTAACTCACAAATATAATAAAAGCCCAAGTACCGCGGGCTAAACAAATAATTTATAAATAAAAATGAGTAAGAGAAATTGCAACATATAGATTATAGAAGAGAAGTTGCAACATATAGATTATAGAAGAGAAATTGCAACATATAGATTATAGAAGAGAAGTTGCAACATATAGATTATAGAAGAGAAGTTGCAACATATAGAACGTTAAACTTTAAACTTAACATGTTTTTAAGAAATAAATTTTAAACATATTTGCGCTACTATAACCTTTTGGGCCCTGGCACATCATTTTATAGAAAATCTAAAATCAATATTAAGAAAACCAAATTATGAAATAGGCTGGTTTCATAATTGACTATAATGAGCATTTCACATATACTCTATGCTTTTCACTTTACAAACGATGATTTTCCGTTATAACTTTAAATCAAATTATGTTTTTCATTGACCTAAATTATTTTATGAAGTTTATTTAACAGCTTTAAAAATTTCGAAATTGAAATGGATAGTTTAGGGAACATACTGTATTAATGTACTCTACTGCATATAATTTGTGAACATTTACATGATTTGCACACTTTGAATTCCATTTCAGGCTGAAAGGGACTGACAAAATTCATATTGAGGGATTGTCTAAATTCCACTTTAATATATATTCTATTCTCTTTGTTCACAACAGTACCCTTAACCATTTCTAACCATTTCTGGAAAATCGATTAATTACTACTGTTTTCTGTAGAAGTGACTAGTGCATTTATGGTGCAAAACAATGAAGGAAATTAACAGAATTTAACATAAAATTACGATAATATTTTCCTTATAAATACTCAGATTAAATTTGAAAAGGTATTGTTGTGAATCTAACATGAAAGGTTATTTAAAATGACCTCTATGTACACTGTAAACTGTACAGTGTACATAGAGTGTACAGCCCCGTTCGAGTTATTTAAATATTTTGAATATTTTCAAATCAAATTTAATTTGATTAAAGTTTTATTTCGACATTAACTGTAAACAGGTTTACATATTGCTTTACATTAAACTAAACATTAAACAAATAAATAGAAGAAGGGGTNGGGTAAATTTAGGAGCTGTTGAACGTTTTCTATTCCAGTATTCTTTATAATGTCCAAAAACCACATTAAAAAATTTCAACAATATTTGTTGTTGAATAAAATATAATGAAAATCCAAAAAAAGAATGATTAATTGTACAAAGGAATTGAGTCTTTGTCACAAACTCAAACTTCATAATTCCCTATATCTTTCTAACCTGATGGTCTAGACCTTTGATATACAAAATTGGGTAACAAAGATATATCCAGGGATAAGAAAATCAGTTCGTAACTCAATTCCACAGTTTCACTAAAACAAGATGATTTATATTGTTTACTGTCCCGTTGGACAGCCTATTATATTCTCTATTTATTGAGAACTAGCTGAAGTGCTCGGCGTTGCCAGTTGAATTTTAAAAACACTGTGGAAAAAATTTTGAATTTTGAAAAAAACTTTGAAAGAAAAAAAAGTTACCCTATGTTACCCCTCGGCTGGGTAATCATGGAAAGGATCCGGAATTTTTCCATTTTCATATTGAAAGGTTACAAAATTCTGGATCATCTACAGATTTTTTTCTTCTGGAAATAGGTAATTTCTGGAAACTTCTTTTGGAGTTATGATATGTTACGGAATAGTTCCGGCAAAACCTTGGGCAATATAATGGAAACATGCAGTATGATTTCTTTAATAACTTGGTCCGTCCGTATGAAGCAGAGTTTTCAGTACTTTATGCTTACATTCAAATAATATTTCAGGTTTGTATACTTCTTCTGCTGGCTGTTCAAGTTCGTGAGTCACCAGCCCGTCGGAAGCGTCAACAACATGATCATCGAATAGAAACAGATCAATATGGAGATCATTATCAATCAGTAGATCAAGATCACAGCTCTCAGCAATACGCACATCCATTTCCGAATTCGGAGGACACAACGGAAAATTCGGAAAACCCGTTTTATCATTCCGGAAATGAGTTTACGGATTCGGAAAATCGATTTTATGAATCTAGAAATGAGCAGAGCAGGTCTAAAACCAGACTTGACATTCAACACACTCAGCCTGATAATCAGTTTACAAAAGATGAATCAAACCCGGCTCAAGGAAGGAATAATCGGCATCAAAACCAGCCTCATCGGAAACAACGACGGCCTCATGACTCAAGGTACAGCGTTTGATATTCAAACTATTATCATGAATTGAAATATTATTTTTTTCTCGCCTTTTCTTTTTTACTTTGTTATCTAGGGTTTCAAATCGATTGTTCTTTTCAAAATAGTTTTATTGATGCATATTTCCCACTAAACGATACATATGATTAATGTTAAAGAGAACATTTTTTCGTCCAAAGAGTTCGTTCAACGTTCGTTAATTGATGATTGTTTCTTTAAAACAGCTTCTAACTGCATTCGTTAATTTTCAACTGGGTTGTGATGGGAAATACCGTTTGTTAATTGAAAAAAAAGATCGTCTCATGATGCTCAGCACTATTTAAGAATTGTTGTCTTTCCTCACACTGTGTATTCTCCAGGTATCTGAACAGTCCAGGTACTGAAGTTCATGACACTCACAGCTCTGAAGACTACCTGGATACAGAGCAAGAACAGGAACATTCATTTAACCCTTTAAGTCTGGATAAAACCATAATTCTAAATTATGATTAATATTTTAACCTTGATTTGTCTTCTATTTAATATTAAGTTAAACATTTCTAATACAAACCATGATTACTCACTAAATTACATAATTTTATAAATTATCGATTGATAAAAAATTTTTGTTTGCTAGTTTCATTTTAAAGTCTCCTTTAAGTGCCTGATATAAACTAAATGTTCAGGTTATGAGGTTCCAATATTCATTAACGCCATGAGTTCCAATTTAATGCAACTAAGTGCAATGTAAAATTTTGGACATAAGCGATTTCAATAATTTTGTGTTACTTTGACGCAACAAATTAAAGTAAAATTAGTGGTGATCGAATCCTAACCCTCCCTTTCATTTTTCGCGAACACGTTCTCCTAAATAAATGAACCTGGTGCAGTCTGATGCTAATCAGCAGCGACGAATGCAGAGACGTGAACGGCAGAGATTACTTGAGGAACAGCAGGACCAGATGAAGAAACAGATCAGGCACAAACTCCTCATCATAGTTCTGGACGGGTGAATATTCACATTTTTTAACAAATCATATTTTTAAAATTGGGTTTCCTTCTGGATTATTTGACACAAATTCAAATTTTCAAATTTTCCCTATATCGTTGCAATCTAATAGTGTAAACCTTATATATTTCAAACTTAGACTATTTTATCTAACAGAATTCTTAGTTTGAAATATCAAAGGTCTACGACCTCGGTTTGCAAAGATATATGTATTAGAAAATTAGAAAATTAGAAAATTAGAAAATTAGAAAATTAGAGCTTGTGACAAGAACTCAGTTTCTTTCAGACGTTTCTAAAAAAGTGGCTCATGGGATTCCCTATCAAAGAGGAATGAAAAAAGTTTTTAATTTTGATAACTTCCTTTATTTTCTCTCTAGCAGGTATGTGCAAGCAAATTTTACAATATAGCCACAATCAAAATTAAGTTAAAAAGAGACATAGAAGAATAACTTATAAATCTTTGATCAGACGGACCGTGTTGGTACTTTCCCAAAGGATTTTTCCCAAGTGGTAACTTCCCAAATGTGCAATTTCCCAAGTGACAACTTCCCAAATGTACAATTTTCCAAGTGGCAACTTCCCAAAGGTTAGGTTAGGGCGCCGCAGGCTGCAAAGGGGGACGAGCACTGCGGCTAGTATGGGCTAGGGGCCCAGAATATGTTGGGGACCGATCACTGCGTCTAGGACAGACTTGGAAAATTGACGCTTGGGCAATTGCATATTGGGAAGTTGCCACTTGGGAATATACCCTTGGGAAGTTGCCACTTGGGAAAAATCCTTTAGGAAAGTACCTAACCTCGATCAGACACAGCTGTTTAAAGGGTTCGGTTGTGAATTGGACCTTCTACTCTAATACTTGAAAATACTTTCAAATTCAGTTTTTAAAAAATCTGAATCTTTGTTACATGGAAGAGTATTTATTTTTAATTTTTTTGTTTTTTAGTTAAACAATTTATTCTTTTACATTTAACATGACTGAAGCAAAGTAGTAATTGTTAAATGTAGCACTACAAATAAGTTCATAAAAAATTCCTCCCAAAAACTGCAGAAATTTTTTTCTTCATTTCTTCTATGGTAATTATTATAACTAGCCCGGCGTTGCCCGTGGAAAAAAAATATTTTTAAAAAATTTGAGAAAAATATTTTCGATTTTTTTAGCCTGTAACACCCATGAGTGTCCACAAAAAATGTCAGCCCAATCGGAACAGTTGTTTGGCCAGCCATACGCAGCATATATATATATATACGAATGTCTTATTTTATTGTATAGATTATAGTGAAGTAAGTCCTACCGCCCGGCCCTTTCCCTTAGAACTGCATAATATGTAAATAAAATGTATATTCATAAATAGATGCGAGTGTATTGTATATCCTTCAAAGCACCATGCTTACACTTGGCATAAAAGGCATTATTCGTTGTCATTGACTTTTCAGTACACCCTTATGTATAAATATTGGACAATTCGAACAAAAACCCTTTTATTTACTTGATTTTCAAGAAGAAGGCCAGCTTCCTGAACTGCAAAAATGATTGTTTTCAATAATGAATGCCACGAAGAATTTTTTTGCCTTAAAGGAATATCAGAATTGATTTTTTTAAATTACAGATTTTTTTGAGATACGGGTTCAAGATTTTTAGTTAAAACTCCTCTTATATTGTAGAACGTTTTGTATATGCCATTAAGCAGATCTGTAACTGGATATATTTGTTTTATCATATTTTAGCGTAAAATCAAAACTATAGGAGTTACGAGGTCACAAAGTCTCCTTTGCACCATGTATCTAGATCTAGAGAAAATCCGCGAATGTAAGCAGAAATGTAGCAGCATAACTTCTCTTTAGTGTGCACAAAATCAATAGAATATCAACATTATGAGGAACACATATAGTCCCCCATTTCTACAATAGTCTGATATATAAATGTTTCTGAATGAATAGGAAGGGATATATATTAGACTTTTGATTTGAATATATAAGCAGTTAATGTATCATAAATAATCTTTGGAAATGATTCTTTGATCCGGAAAAAAGTGTCATGTACAATGTACATGTACACAAGTGCAAACAATTATGTACGTTGAACTGATGATAGTAGACCTAAAGAGAGTGGATGGGGTTATTTATCGTATTAGACAGCTCAACAACTAGTTTTAATGCAAACAATAACAAATATTATAAGGCAAGACATGGTATTTTTGATATGTCACTTATAGGGCCGGGCCTATACATAGGGTTGTTAATCGTTTTTGAAAACGATCGTTAAACGATCGTTAAACGATCATTTTTTGTTTCGTTTTCAAAAACGATCATTTCGTTTTCGGAAAAAAACGATCGTAAATTCCCTTCCCCCGCTTGCTCCCCTTATATTTCAACCCCTTCACCCCTCCCCCGCGCTCCCTATTTTATCAACTAAAATGTATAATTATTAAATTTAAGTTTTTTCTTTTACATAAATCAAAATATTCGAACGACATTCATATCTTAAAATATATATTAAGAAACTGATCGTTCTTGCCACAACCTTAAATTTACCATGATCCCTATTTCTTTGCAACCTGATTGTGCAACCCTTATTATTTTAAACTTAGACTTTCTAAACATAATTTAAAGTTTGAAATATCTAAGGTTTACGAAAGCAGATTGCATAATTATGGGGTAACGAAAATCAGAGTTTGTGGCAGAAACTCGTTTCTTTTACCCAATTATGGGACTTATTCTGTTCTATAATACATTATTAAATATCTCGCGCTCTTTTACAATGATGTAAGTATTAAATTGATTTGAAAATTTTGTTTCAGTTTTCGCTGGGATTATATGGAACAGTATGAACGCCGAACAGGACTTACTTTGGACGGATTTAGAGCCTTTCAGGTCAATTTTTATATTCTTATTAGAATTTGGAAATAATACAGAGTGATGAGACCCATTGGGCTGTGGGATAGGTAGACTAAACTTAATGTCGTCTTAATATTCCACAGTTTTATAGGTCTCACTATTACAAACGTCGTTATTAATTTAAATTAGATATTTCTATATCTTCTAAAGTATGATTTTGAATGTATTCAAAGGTTTTGCTGTTTCATCTTTTCTGAAAATATCATTTTAATAGTTAAAAATGTAAAATTTTCTATTTTTTTACTAACAATGATATTTTAGAGTGGAGGGGTTAGATCTGAATATTTGGAATCTGTTTTCCCAGCAGAGAGCTTCCCAGCTTGGCAAACTCTGCAAACAGGTTTTTTATGCATTTTGTCACAGATTTAAAACTTTTTATTAGATTTTAACCTTTTTTTACAGATTTAAAACTTTTCTAATTAGATTTTGACCTTGTTTTACAGATTTTAAACCTGTTTTATTAGATTTTAACCTTTTTTTACAGATTGTAACCTTTTTTGTTAGATTTTAACCATGTTTCACAGATTATAAACCTTTTTTATTAGATTTTGACCTTGTTTTACAGATTTTTTTGCCGTTTTTTACAGGGTTTCTAGTTTTTTTTACAGATTTTTCACGCTTTATTTTTCGAGTTTTTTTTTGTTGCAAATGTTCAGTCCTTTTTTCCGAATGTTTTCTGGTCCATTTAAAAAAAGGATTTGCCTTTTTTACCTTTTTTGTTGTTTTAAAATGTTTTAAAAAAAAAACAGACAAGACGTAACTATAAATTAACACATGATTTTGTATTTTTTAGTTGGATCAAATTCTAGAATAGTTGTAAAAATTGCAGAATTTTCATTTTGAATTATTGAAAATAAATTCTCAAAATATCGGGAATTGGATTAAAATATAAAATAAGATTTTTATCGTTTTGCAAAATTGTAGACCTTTTTTTGGGAGTAGGGGTGGGGGTGGGGAAAGCTGTAGGCGCCATATTTGAAAAAAAAAGTTCCTAAGTTTATTATTCCCCTTTTTGTGTATAATTATTAATCAAATTTGAATTCCCCTCAGCTCCCCTCTGCACTGCTGCGAAAATGAAAATGAAAAAGTCATTTAATTTGTTTATTCACATGATTAATTAATGCAATATTATTCTATAAACACATTTTGATATTTCTTTTTTCATGCAGAGAGAAAAAAACAAATGATTTTTTTAACTCAAAATTATATATTTGTTAATTAGTACTGCATGTACCGAATTTAATGAATTGGAGCCAGGTTGCTTAACTATACCTTCTGCCGGTTCAAATTTTAATGACTGATTCAAAGCTAAGGATTCATGAGGATTTTAATCAGGGCTTAAAAATTTGAACTGCAGCTTGCGGTGGTTACGCGACCACTCCAATTCATTAATTTCGGGCTCAGATCTTGGAAATATATTCTTGTGATTTTTACATTTTTTTAATTTTTTTAATCGATTTTGATGGTTATTATATCGTTAGAACTGACGAGGGTCAACCCAGACCGAAATATATTTTCAATAAATGTGGAACTAACATCTACTTTTTTACTCTACAGAGGTTTGGTCCATCACCATCACTGAATTGGAAATATCATAATTAGTAAAAATTGATATTTTTCATCCTATATAATATAAAATAATGGTTAATATTTTTCAAACACGATTTTGAAAAGCTTTCAATATAAAATACAAAAAAAACAACAAGCATGCCGTGGCTGGAGAGGGGGGGGGCAGTATATTTTCCCTAGAAGGACCTAATTCATTTGGCATACCGTCCCGTTTTGCCATGCATAGTCTGTTTGTGTTTTGTACAGCTTGCCCTGCTCCCTTAACAGTCGGCCCGGCAATTGAAATGTACCGGACTTTACCGTGTGTGTGGGGGGGGGGGGGTTGATCTTTTGTTTTAATAATATTAATATTTTTGAAAAATCTAGAAAAATCCAAATTATTACACTGATGTTGTTAAATAAGAAGGGAGGCCATACTTAACAATTTGTCTCATACATCAGAAGCAACCGGGAACGTCACACTCCTCTGTCACACTCCTCTGTCACACTCCTCTGTCACACTCATCTGTCACAATCCTCTGTCACACTCCTCTGCCACACCTCTCTGTCACACTTCTCTGTCACACTCCTCTGTCACACTTCTCTGTCATACTCCTCTGTCACACTTATCTGTCACACTCCTCTGTCACACTTCTCTTTCACACTCCTCTGTCACACTCCTCTGTCACACTCCTCTGTTACACTCCTCTGTAACACTCACCTGTCACACTCTTCTGTCACACTTCTCTGTCACACTCCTCTGTCACACTCCTCTATCACACTCCTTTGTCACATTCCTCTGTAACACTCCTGTCACACGTTAATTCTTTTTACTAACAGTATCTGGTGACTTACTATGCATTAAACAAAACAAAAAACTTGTTAATTTGAGATATATTGTCATAATTTAACAAATATAAATAATTCAATCTGCTTATACGAAGTACACTGCAGACTGCAGTATAGTAACAAAAATGGTTCGAGGCCTATTTTTCCTAAAAGAAACTCACTATTACTTCAATTATTTGAAGCACATAGAAGCCAGCTTATTCTAAAATAGATAGATAGAATGATAGATAGATAGATAGATATATACATAGATAGATATATAGATAGATAGAAAGATAGATAGATAGATAGATAGATAGATAGATAGATAGATTTTCCTGCGAAATTTTATTCTTCAAAACTTTACTAATGGCTTTTATAATTTAAGATGTTGAACACATATTAATAATGTTGGAAATTAAAATGTTAAATAATTCAAAAAATACTTTATTATTTTTGAAATTATGCGTTAAAGGAACTGTAAGCGTGATTATAAGTGACCCTCCATGCAAAAATGGCAATGTACGATTCACAACGGTACCCTTGAAACGTTAATCTGATCAAAAATTTGGAAGATATTGTTGTTTTTTAAGATCTAAGGGTGCTTTAATGCAGTAGAAATGTATGTGCAGAGAAACCACAGTTGACAGTAATCAGTTTTTCAATCATAATTTATTGTTACCTAATTCAAAAGTGAGCAGCTAGAAAGAGAGTCACTTAACATTACGCTTTATGTCCCTTTCAAAATTGAGAAATGGTTTTATTTTTATATTTGTCAACACGGGTACGGGGGGGGAGGGGGGGAGAGAGAGGGAGAGGGTTGGAAACCATGCATGGAGATCAAAAAGCATTTATTTCTAGTTCAAGATACACAATGATTTATCAGTACGGTCCTTATCCCACCAAACTCTTACTTTCAATTCAACCCAAAACAACCAAACTCTAACTTTCAATTCAACCCAAAAGAACCAAACCCTAACTTTCAATTCAATCCAAAACAACCAAACTCTAACTATCAATAAAAACCTTTTCTCTTTTCTCTTAGCATTTTAAATATAAAGTAAAAGAGATAACTAATTCTGTTTAAAAATTGTTGATTTAGAGACTTCAACGCGATTGAATTCAAATTAAAACAGCCGAACGCAATTTAACGCATTATACCGCCTTGGTTAGGTTGTATGTCAGTATGTAACTTATTGTTATACAAATGTCAAATGTTAAAGGAATTGAGTTATTGTCAAAATCTCAAATTTTCTACTTTATATATATTTGCAACCGAACGTTGTAGATCTTTAATATGTCAAACTATGAATTTTGTTAGATGAAATATCAAAGAGTTACACCATCTGGTTGCAAATATATATGGATGAGAATATTTGAGTTTGTGGCAAAAACTCATTTCCTTTGCCACCTGATTTTTGGCGGGTTGGAGACGTGGCTCAAATGCGAGAAAATCCGGACTCTGAGGCCGAATTTAAAGAATTTGAGACGCGGCTCAAATATGGTTGGTTCCACTTGAAATTGTATTCAATGTTTCAAGATTTAAGCCGGCGCTCAATTAAAACCAATTTTTGGTGGATTTGAGACGGGGTTCAAATTCAATAAAATCCGGACTCTGTACTATTTAATTTCTAAATGCGCCAAGCTTTTACCTAGTAGTAAAGGGACTGTAAGCGTAATTTAAAGTGCAAAGACGGCAATGTTTGATTCACAACGATACCCCTGAATCTATGATGTAGAAGATATTGTCGTTTTTCTATGTATTCTAGGTTTCTAAGGTTTAGGTTACACTTACTGTCCCTTTGAATATAAAAAAATATATTGTAGGTTTGTACCCTGAAAACCATGATATTGTTGGAAACCAGTTTTATGATTCGGAAATTCACAAACAGCTTGGAAATTCAGGTAATTAAATAATTCAGGTAATTAAATAATTTCTTTTTTAACAAACCTTTTTCAATCTCTTCATATAAACACCCGATCGTTCGACAAATAAAACATTTTTTCTACAAATTAATTAAAAAATGTCATATTTGAAATTTTTTTTAATATTCTTTCTGGTTTTCAAATAGAATTTAGATAAATGCTAAATTAACTTTATTTTATTTCTTTTAGGACAAGCATTTTTTAACATTGAGGACCAGCGTTCTACTCAGCACATGAAATGGTGGCAGAAGGTAAGAGAAAGCACTTGAAAAGAGAAAGCACTTAAAAAGAGAAAGCACTTAAAAAGATAAAGCACTTGAAAAGAGAAAGCACTTGAAAAAAAAAACATGTGATGAATGTTTTGGGTATTGAGTCAGAATTGAATCTTAAAAATGCGTTATCGGAGCTATAGTGCGATTATGAACATAAAGTGTAAATTCTGTTGCATACCAATAACTTTGTTAGAAAAAGAATGAATGAGAAATGCATTTTTAATTTTTTTAGAGGATTTTTGTAAAAGAATCAGTTAAGGAAATTTCTTTTAAAGAAAAAAAGTGACCTTATCTTCCAGAAGATTGACCAGATATGAGAGGGTGCAGTAGTTAATCGGCAATATTCCTCTTTAATTGAAAATACAATGACAAACTCTGCAATGTTTGCATTCCAGAAACTTCTTCAGTACTCTTTTTATGAAAACAGATTTTGAATCCTAATTGATAAATAAATTTCAAGATCTAAAGAAGGTCAACCTGGACCTGAATACATTTTCCAAAAAAATGTGGAACTAACACCTACTTTATTTACTCTATGACGTTCAGATTATCAGCAGGACCAAATTTTCTAAATCTAAGCTGTTTTGAGGATATCGAGATCAAGCTTGAACTCGATTTTTTGTTAATTTGATTAACTTTATTCGATATTCCGCATTCGCATCCAGTCGGGGGTTGAAGGGAGCGCTGCTTTTATTAGACGAGGAATAACAAAGATGAAGATATAAAAAGTCATGTTTTTTAATAGATGCTTAAAAAAGTGTTCCAGCGTGGATTTCGAGATCTATGGATCGGAATTATAAGTATCAAACTCAAAAGTTCCCAGCTCTAGTCTATTTCTTTACAGGATGAACCGTTGTGGGCCACTGCTAAGAAACATGATGTCACATTTGCTGCGTATTTGTGGGGACGATGCGATATACCCTACGACGCAGAGAAACGATTAAGGAATTTTTCTATCTAAAGAAAAAACTAAAACTTTTTTCTTACTTGGGCGTATTATGAAAACTATGGGAGCTACGAGGTTACAAAGGATCTGATCACCTATCATAAACTTTTATTTTCTAAAACTTATATATTCGCAACCTAATGGTGTAAACTATACAGACCTAATACAACGATTAAGACAACTCTCTCACGGGCAGCCATAGTACATTTGAATTTCCGAGCCGGGTCACCCTTTCCAGTCTCAGTTTGTACTGTATCGCCCGGACATTGGTTAAATAAAGCAGATATGACTAGCCGGTGCAACAAGGTTGACGCGGTCAAACTTTAGGTTGAATTTACTTTTACTAAGGGGTCAGGGGTGCATGCACTTTTTCAATTTTTATTTCTACCAATCTTTTAAACAACAGAAACTGCACATCAGCATTAAAACAAAGAAAATTAACAGAGTTTCTTTGTTTACTTGTAAACTTGTAATTTGAAAAATGCTTTTTAGGAATCAAAACATTATTAGTAAAAGTTTTCTTCATTGTATTGATATAATCGCCAACCAATGCGGTATATTTAAAACTTGTTTCGTTAGCTATTACAAAAAAAGTTTGAAATATCAAAATGTATAGATTTAAAGATAAAACAAATAGAGTTTGTAGCAACTGTTCACGTTCTTTTCTTAGATTGAAGTGATTCCTTTTATTGGTTAAGATCCTCTTTACATTGTGTTAAACCCTCTTCAATCTTCAACCTGGCTCATCTAGACACGTTCTAAACCTCTTTACTTAATACAAGTACTCATACAATAGAAAGATTAAAAATATAAAGAAAAAATATCTTCAGATGTATTCATTATATGATTAGCCATTTAGGGCGCTAAAGACCTGAACACTCGCCTATAGCTAGCTCTAGTTTTTCTGGACCTTTTGATATTTTAAAGTAATACATACATTCCATAGATTTAATTCAAATATAAATGAAGGCTTGGGCCATCATGTACACTTTAGATTACAATTATGTCTTTTTTTTCTAGATTTAATTTTTAATTGATCTTTTCTCATGCATTTTTGGCTGGTTTCTTGCAGATTTATTATGCGTTTTGAAGTGCACAGAATGAGTTGAACCACTTCTCATTGGTTTAACTTACTCTACGCGGTTCAGCTACTTCTCTCGCCATTTTTAAATCCGTAAAAGTTTTAAAATACACAAAATAAAAAATATTATGAAATATCAACTATAAACAAATGCGTCGAAAGATAATTGATGACCATAGGATTTAATATCTAAATCATTTGTTTGATATGAATTTGATTTTTTTACGATCCAAGTCATATGTCCCAACTTCTTCAATTTGTATGAACGCTTCGTTCTTCGGTATGAGACGTTTTTAACAATTTTTTCCATATATACGCAGCAGATAGAAGTAAGATTAGTAGCGATCAGAAGCGATTATTTATCGCCGTAAGCCTATACCCCCTTTCATTTTTCGCAAACACTTTCTTTAATAAGTCGATTTTTTATTTTAAAAAGATAGAATTTTTGTTAAATAAACCAGGTTTGATTTTTGTGAAAACTTGTATCAGAAGGATGGAACTAAAACCCTGAGGTCAGTACAAATTTTATTCGTAACTTGGAGTATTTAAAAAAATCAAATAAAAAGATAAAATTTTCTAAAACCTATACATATGAGCTGTAATGTTATGGATATCATACACATCGTTATATATCTATAACAAATCTGTTCCTGATTTAAACAAACTTTTTTAAATTTTAATATGATTTTGATAATTTTGATATTATTCTCATTAAATGTTAGAATTTATTTCTTATCATGCATGAGTACATTATCATTTGAACTCTTGTTTGGATGTCCGATCAAAACTCATAATTCACGAACCCCGATTTGCCTAAAATTTTATTGTGGAACTTGGGAGAACCACGGGAATGTTTATAGCTTGGGTTTAGAACTATAGGTTTAGTGGGTTGATTTTTACAGGCAAAGCTGGGTTTCCAAGTTAGAAACATAGATTTTGTTTACGCTAATTGTAAATTATACTTATTTACTCCATCAGAGCCTACGATTTAAAAACTTCGGCTCGTGCCGTAATTCCTGAAACCCGACTTTAAGGCCCGATCTTCGACCCAACTCTGAAGACAGCCTGTGTCACGTGATTGACAGCTGCAAGATCTTCGGCTCGACTTAAGGAGTTAGGCCCAATGAAAATAAAACCGACCTTGGTTGGTTTTAGTGGAGAATAAGGCTCAATGTTGCGTCTTGTTCTCATAAAAACTGGGAATGCGCCAATTCCTTCCATGAAAATCCGCCAAATAGAATATTAAACCGGTTTTTGAACTCGACTCTGTGGGAAAATAATATGCAGCTTGAATCCTAAAGCTCAAGTCGTAAATAAGGCCCAACGACAGCTTAGACCCGAGCCGTATTCTCCCGAATTTTTTAAATCGCGGGCTCAGTTTGGCTTGCCTACAGTGGCCCCCCACAAAACTATGAAATAAAAGATGACCTAGTGATATTTAAATAAGTCCAATGACCATGAAACAAAGCAAATGTAGTCTTTCACATTCACTTATTCCACTTGATAAGTTAAATTTTAAGATATTCGTAAAGCTTAATGCTTTAAATATACAAAAAATTGCATGAAAATCTTCCTCCTATTTTAAAGTTTTTTGAGTACCCCTCTACTTTCACATACGAATCTACGAATCTGATAGAATTGGCGTAGAAAATCTTTTTTATTTATTTTATGAATTTCTGATGGAATCCAATAAAAATATTGAATTAGGATAAAATATGACTGTGATACAAAGGTTTTAATTCATGTTAAAAATTGACTGATTTAATAGATATCTCTTCATATTTCTATATCTATATATACTCCTAGATTGGAGCCTTTCAACCAAATCTGGGGAAAAACACATTGGGGAAATAAAATACGGGGAAATAGTAGAATTGGTTTTCAATTTAGAGTATGTACTTTTCTAGTCTTTTAAAATAGAAACATATTAACCAAACAGAGCTGAAAACTTTAGAATGAGATATCCTTAATCCCGATTATTTAATCTAAGTATCCAATGGACACACTTTGGATTTTCTTCTTTAACTGTTCTTTCTTGGATATAGTAGAGAAAAATCAAAAACCGGTTTTCTAAATTAGAGAATTCCTCCCGTTTCTGTATATTAATCTTAAATGGCGCAAAGTTTCAAATTTATCGGCTTCATATACGCGACTCTGAGTGGTTGAATTTGATACACTTTTCCGGATACAAATACAAGATTAGGTTAGTCTCGATATTAAGGAAAAGAGAGGATTAAGCATTAATCTCGATATCCACCATTCTAAAGTTTTCAGCTCAGGTAATGGTATCAAAATCGATATGTCTTTGTAACCTTTGCTATATTTCAAACTTTTTGCATAGGCAAAATTCACAGTTTGAAATATCAAATGTTGCAAAGATTTAAAGAAAAGAGTTTGTGACAAGTAAGAAAAGAAAAAAATAATTACCTATTTTCGAGTAGTTGAATTTTACAAAATAGGTTGTTGAAAATTAATTTGTAAATTGTTAAAATTCTTTTATTATAGAATAAATGTGGACAAGGCTTTGATGAATTTCCAAAGTGAATTCGATGCAGCCATTGTAAGTATTTTACTTTCAAATTATTTAGAAAATTAAATTTTTGGTGAGATACAATTTCTAAAATTTTTTATCATAATTTTTGGCCCAATCGGTTCAGCCGTAATGACGTTTTATGGAAACAAGCAGACATGGCGAATCCACCGATTCGGGATTAGTTTAATTGATTTAGATATGTTTGAAAAAATAAAATTTAAATAAAATAATCCTAGTCCAAAAAACGGATTGTTATAGTTTAATAACAACAAAAAAAGATTGGGTTTAATTAAAACCAAACACTTAACTTGAAAAAAATGTGTTAAGGCATTAATAAAGCAATAATTATTACACTTTCATAAATAGTTGTTCTGTTTTCTTTCTATATTTTGATTGAAACAATGTTTTTTTGTTTGTTTTATTGGTCCAACATAATTTTTATTTCTTGTTTAAAACTACTGATGGACATGTTTTTAACACCCGTTTAAAACATTCAAGATTTGTTTGGCCGGTAGTAAAATCTAATTTTCAATAAGTTTAATTATTTGAATTATGCAAAAAATATTTCTAAAAACAAACAATTTTTGAAAATGATTTTGATTTTTTAATATTTTAAAACTTTTTTGCATAATGTAATAATTACAAAATTATCGAGCATACAGTTTTAAAATAAGCATCTAAGATTCTTTTGAAACCATCAAAGCTGCAGACTGTCTCTACTCTCTATAGTTGTAACAATTGAAACTTTTCAGATTTTCGAGAACAGCTTTCTTTCACAGTTTCTTACCCTAGTTGATCATAAATCCAGTTCTTGTCCATCTTCTTCTTTTCGTCAGTTTTTATTGATATATCCATCATTTACATATATTTGTCTAAAGCAAAATTACATTAAACAATATAAAATTTTACAATTTAATACTTGTACTTTTTTCTCTGAATATCGCATTTTATAATTGACTGGGTTTGCCAAAAAACAGGTGCCATTCCAGATTTTCAGCATGAGTATAGTTTAGTTATTCAGCTAGGTGATTTTCAGAAATGGAGTTTCTTGGTCCCAGTCTAGTGTTTTTCGTTTTCTAAAAATGTGCTATGATGACAGCACTCTGCTCTGCAAGGCTTGATAGATTTTCGCACATTTCTTTGAAACTAACACTGGGTTTGCAGAACTTATGCAGTTTTTTTAGATTTGCTTTATTTGATGGTGAGATATATCCTCTTAAGCCGATTTCAAAAGGGTGAACACTGAACAGACACAGCCCTAGTTGTTATATCTGTGATAAAATGTTCATACTTGTTCAGCTTTTGTGTGTTTGCATTTTGGCTATTTGTTTCCAATGGGACTAGTAAACTCACAAATATCCATTTTTTCCACCTTGAAGCTAGTTCTTCAAAATATGGTTTGCAGTTTCTTCTCTTCTACCTTTTTCAAGGACGACATTGTGCTTAATAGTCCCATTAATGCCCGGCAGGCCTTGTGTACTTTCTCATCAATATAATTATTCACTGTTTAAAACTTGGTCAGCAATTTTGCAAGAAGGAGATGGTTGGTGAAGGTCATAAATTTAGTTTTTTCCATCATCTTCTCTTTGCCAGTTTTTATTTTTACCATGGAATAGTTGATTTTTAACATTATTTGCTTTTCTTTTCTTCTATTCAAATATAATATTACTGACTAAAACTATCAATTTCTTGGAATCTGAACTTTTGAGTTTAGACAAACATGCAATAAATATGTATATGTACATATATTATATAAAACATATGCATAAAAGATATAAATTTCCCAGTAAATAATCGAATAAAAGAATTAATTAATGTTTTTAGATTTACAGTGTTGTTGTTTTGTTTTTACTGAAGTATTCTAAAGACAAAGGTTTTCAGATAAGAAAGTATTGATGTGTGAAGAAGGAGATGGTAGAAGGAGATAGGGGGGGGATGAAGGGGAGGAGTATGATGTCAGAAGAGAGGGGAAGGGGTGGGGTATTTGTTCAAGAATTGAGAAAACAAACCCAAGATCCTTGGCACAATTTTTCTTTTCTATTTTTACCAATTTTGATTTAATTCAGTCATTTCTCATTGACAAGCCTTATAGGACAGACAAGATCATTTAAAATGTAATAAAAAGTAAAAAGAAAATTTTAGTTTTTAATTTCTAACCAAAACTCAAATCAAAGAAGGTTAAATTTTTGCGACATTACTGGTAGAACTTTGAGACCTTTTAGCTCCTCTATTGTTGCAGCTACAATACTATAAGTTTTGTAGCTGCAACAATTAATTGCGCAAAAAGGCTTTCTCTCCCGTATTTTTATCGCAAAATTTTCGCATTTTGTTTTACCAAAAATTTTCACATTTGTCATGTCGCAAAATTTTTTGAGAAATTTTCGCATTTCTTATTTTGCGAAAATTTTGCATTTATTCGCGAAACAAGTTCGCGAACATTTTCGCATTTTTTCACGAGCGAACGAAATGCGAAAAGATGCAAAATTTTTATTTTTATGCTTTTAAAAACGAAAATATAATCATTCTGTTTTTTGTCAACATCACTTTAATCTAAAAGAGTTACTTTACTGTAGGGGACACCAAAAAGCTAAAGCAAAGATGTAATTTTAAAACATGTTAAATATTCCGATGGAAAAAATCCACTAATCGTTTTTACAGAAAACCACCATTGAAAAATATAAAGATTATCTATAATTTTGTATCACTGTAGAATTAAACGTTTTGAAACTATTTCCGTCTTCAATTCCTTTTAAGTTAAAGAGACTGTAAGCATAATTTCATGTGACCCAAATACCCGATTTACAACGGTATCCCTTAAAAGCTTTATCTGATAAAGTATAAATTAGAAATTCATGTTTTTGTTTATTTCAAATGTTGTCATTTCTTGCTGATAAGAAGCAATGGAGAATTCACCATACAATCTTTATATCTACTTTGCTTGTCTGGGTGTCTGAATGTCTGTTTGTTTATTTGTTTGTATCCAATAAACGTCAAAACGGCTGAACCGATTGGGCCCAAATGTTGTGTAGGACTTCACATTTCACAGGGAAGGTTTATGAATGATCAAAACTTCGATTTTCATTAAATTTAGAAAATCCGCGAAATATTTGTTTTAAATCCGCTAACTTTTTTGTTTGTTTTTGCTTTACAATGTACACAACGTACACAAAGTTCACAGTTGAAAAAGAAGATGAGCGCAAAGTGCCCAGAAAGCGTACTAACATAAAAAATGGGGAAAATAGAAGAGAATAAAAGAGATTGAAAAGGAAGGTTGTTTTCGATGAAGAAAGATATTTTAAAATTCTAAAATTTTCAACAAAAGAATTGTTGGTCCGGTAAACTTTACAGGTTTGAGAAAAAGAAAACAAAATCTCAGATTAAATATTAGCATTTTAAAAGTTCCAACTGAGGTTTTTGCCTTCTGAAAAATATCTTTTTTTTACAAATGCATGATTAAGAAAGATATTGTCTTTCTTCTACTCCAGCAGGATAGATCTTAACAAAAGTCTATTCATGTATTAAATATATAGAAGGGTATGCAGACATATTTTAAAGTAACTCTATATTTATAGAGTTTATAGTTTCCCGATTTAATCATTTACCTGAGCAAACACTTAACATACAGAATACAATTATTTTTAAACATCATACTGAGGATTTTAATCCTGAATTCTAAACTGAAAATGAAATTAAGTCATCAATTTCTTTAAGTAGATCTTCTAAACTTATTTTCAATACCTTGTCTGGGTGTTTTTTTATTTAAAAACGTCAAAACGGCTGGACTAAGGAATTGAGTCTTTGTAACAAAATCAAATATTTAACCCCCAATATCTTTAGAACCCGATGTTGTAAACCTTTGATATTTCAAACTCTGATTACTTGATTTAACAGAATTCATAGTTTGAAATATCTAAGGTCTACAACATTTGGTTCCAAAGATATAGTGATTAGAAAATCAAAGTTTGTGACAAAGACTCAATTCCTTTGGTCCAAGTTTTTGTTGAACATTTACCAATATCAACAAGGATAAGAATTGAGTCTCTGCCACAAAATCATATGTTTAAATCCACATATCTTTGCGTAAACTTTTGATATTTCAAACATAAGTTATTTGATTTAACAGAGTTGATGGTTTGAAATATCTAAGATCTTCGGGTGGCCAAGAAAATAAAAGGCTTAGGAAATCAAAGATTGTGACAAAGGTTCAATTTCTTTGCGAACAGTTTTTGTTTTGTTACGTTAAACAAAATTCGTCGCAGTTGAAAAGCCATCAAATATTATAAGAATTATACCCCTACACTGCAAGAAAAATGTTAATATAAGTATAAAATCTTTGCCTAATTCTAAAAATATGAATTGCATCAAAGTTTAGCATCGCATTTTCAGTTTTTCAAGCATCAGTTTTTTTCAAATCGAATTCTGCAGGTACCGGATAAATAATTTTAAAAAACGGATAAAAGATAAAACTCTTATTATCATTCCATTTGAATATACAGAGCTGACTTTTAATCAGAGCTATAACAAATTGTACAGTATATCTTTCAGATTTTAAAGGGAGTAACTTGTTAGACATGACAGTTGAGCTGAAAGTGCATTATATGTAGTTAATTTTTTTTCTCAGCCTGTTTGTAACATGCAACTAGCTTGTAGAATAGTGTTTGTTACATGTTTTGTCCATGTTATGTAATAATTGTAAAAAGAAAATTTTTCTGCTGCTGACTGAAACAACTGGTGAAATATTACAAACTACTTTACTTTCTTATGTAAAAATTGCACACAGTAAAAAAATCTCATTGGTATCAAATAAATCCTAAAGTTTTTCTCTTCAATACTGCACTAAACTACCATGTCTAGTCCGTTTCTCCCTTAATCCGACGGCAGAACAGAGATGAATTTTAAAAGCTTAAACCCGAGTAAAACCCAGTCTTTGCGTCAGCTTAGACCCAAGTACAGCTCAAGTCAAGACCCGGGTTTTGGATGGCCTTGAGTTTAGTAAGAACCAACCATCTTGGGTTTTTCTCTCTTTAAGGCTTGAGTCTTCAGCAGCTGATGATGGTAAATTTCGTAAAATCTTTTATATTTGTACATTTAAATCTCGGGAATTATTTGTGGTGTCAAAATTTATTAAATATATAAAATAAACATACTATTAAAATAATGTATCTACATAAAGTTTTAATTTTCCTTGTCACAGCTGATCTGACGGCATTCTGTCTGCTACAGAGAGAAAGCTTGCAAAACAGTCTCTCATTGATCGAATCAGAACCAATCCTGACTTGGGTTCTATCTAAGCCCGTGTTTAGGGTTTTCACGGGTTTAAGCTTTTAAAATCTCATCTCAGGACAGCATGGATATTTTTATGAAACTTTTTTTCAAGATCTATGAGGACTCATTGGAACGAGCTGCAGAGGATTATGGACCGAACTCAAGTCAGTTGGAAGATAAAGTAAAAGAGGTGAAAACCATAAATTATTGATGCTGTAGTGGATTCTCTATCATAATTACTTAGGAATTTATAGAACAGAATTACAATTTTTGATGAAAACGAGATACGTTCTTACTGATTGATGTAAATCAGGAATTTACTTCCTACAAACTCCTATAATCAAAAAGATACTTTTATTTTTTAATTGTTATTCTACGTTTTGGGGCTGTACTTATCAAAGGAGTTTTTGTGACAAACTCTCATATGTCTCTATGTCTTTGCAATGCAATGTCGTAGATCTTTGCTATTTCAAACTATGAAATATGTTAGATCAAATAATTAAGTTTGGAATATCAAAATTTTACACCATCAGGTTGCAAAGAAATAGGGATTAGAACATTGAGATTGTGGCAAAAACTTTTTATAGATTAATTTATTTTCGACGATTTAATAGTATATGCATCAAAATTAACCCTTAACAAACTGTGGGAGGGGGAGGGGCCTTCTGTTTTTTTCAGTATATACACTTTGGAGGTTTTGGAGATATGTTTTTTATGATATATTTTTGTAAATGCAAAGGCAAATCTTTATTACAAGAATTGATTATATTTTTACCAAGTTTTCCTCTTATACTTCTTTGTCGATGAAAACTTTTAATCCGCCAAATTAATTATTTTTCTAAGATAGGCTTTTCAAACATTTTGTTCTTGCCGACTGCTGAACTGAGAGGGGAATTTGGATAAGTTTGAGCATGAAAGGGAGTGTAGCCGGAAAGCAGGAAATGTGCAAGTCTCTTTTGCAGAAAAACCACAAAAGAAAATTATAATTTTTCAAAAAACAAAATCATGGATATCTAATTTATACGAAGAGAGTTTTGTTGAGAATATGTAAATGGAAAGTTATGAAAACAAATTACAAATGGATACAATTGAGAATTTTCATTCAAGAAGAAAAATTCTTTAAATCTTCAATGTCTGTCGACGTATTTCAAATAGTATCTTGAATAGTTGCATGCATAATTTACAAGAGTAACCTTTAAACTTTTATCTGAGCCACTATGAAATAGATATCTTTGTTTTTCCTATATGAAATAGTGTTCAATTCTGACAAGTTTCTGATTTATTTACTGTTTGATAAATCCGCAAGCCACTACTACAGAACCATAATTGAGAGCAATGTATGTTTGGAAAAAAAGAAGAGTCATAACTACATAATTTTTTTTCTTACATAAAAACAATGTAAATTTTATCTTTCTAACGAAGTATGAGAGATAGCGAATGAAATGTGGAAACAATCTAACACCCATTCGGTTACTAACAAACTTAAGAATTATTGCAAACTTAGTTTTTTTATTTAAAAGATATTTTTTTAGTTGGATCTTGCGATCAGCCATCTTTCTGATCGACTCAACGTGACAAATATGGCTGATATTGTAAATGTCGTCATTCTCTCAGATCATGGAATGTCCCAGGCAGCTCCGCCTCGCAGGACGGATTTGACAGGTGAGTGAAGAAAATAGTAAGATTTGAACATTTTTGAAAAATTAAAAAAGAAAAAATTTAAATTTAAATTTTGTCAATAATTAAAAAATATGTAATTTCTTTGAGAATCGCGATTTGTGCACTGTGCATATTTGATTTTTAAAAAATTATGTTTTAGTACAGTGAAACCCTTAATAAAGAATACATCGAACGAATTCATCAAATGTCGTATTCTTCACTTTCTGATAATGAAATGTTGCAGATATTTAGTTTTTTAATCAAATGATTATATAAAACTCTTTAAAACTGTTCCCGCATATTCATGGCATATTTATTTATTTTAGCAATTACTGAAATTTACGTAATATAGTATAAAACTCATTGAAAAATTGTCAAGACGACATTTGATAGATTCTTCCGATGTATTCGTTATTAAGGGTTTTACTGTAGACTTTTTTGTTTAAACATGCTTTAAAAATCTATAATAAACAATAATTAAATCAAAAAAAGTTTATTATGTGTCATAGATGCTGAGCAGATAGGACTTAGACTGTATGTTTAAAGCATATGTCACGTGCGCATGCACTACCATAAGGAAGAAACCAAGGATTATGGAATAGAAGGGAGGTACAACTGACGCGGCTTGCCCTACCTTGTGATATTACATGCTTTGCAGACGGTACTTCATTAGAATAAGAAATGTTCAGAGCTGAAAACTTTAGAATGAAATATCCAGATATCCGATCGGTTAACTTTTCTGGAGTTTAAATTCATGTGGAGAACAAGCAATATTTAAACTGGATATTAAGAAAAGGAACGTATTAAGCATTAATCCTGATATCCACCATTCTAAAGTTTTCAGCTCAGAATAGATTATTGTATACGTGGTAATTGTACATCAGAGAAATATTTCATATACAAATGAAGTACCGTCTGCAAAGCATGTATAATCATATGGTAGGGCGGGCTGGGTCATTTGTATCTCCCTTCTATTCCATACTCCTTGGAAAGAACCGTCTGCACACTTCGGTGACTGGCTTTCTCTTAGCATAATTTTAAGTAACCATTCATGTAAAGGTTTTCTTATTTCTGTTTTATTTTCCAAAACAAACTTGCGCATTTCTTGCTCATAAGAATCTATGGATAAATAATCAGAATTTAACACAGTCATGAAAACGACGATAGCTTTCACACTTCTGATCTGATAAAGCTTTAAAGGGTACCGTTGTAAATCAGACAGTGCCCTTGTTAGCATGCTGGGTCATTTCAAATCACGCTTACAATCCCTTTAAGTCGAACCGGTTTCTCTTATCTTTATTCTTATTCTGGATGTTTCAGAATCTGGAGAAGAAATGGAGATCAGAAAAATTCAACTTTCAGATACACTTTCAAGAGAAAATGTCAGGTTAGTTAGTAGCAATGGGCTGTTTTTTTGCTCCTTTTTCAATAGTCAAATTATTTATTCTACAAGAATCTGAGATGATTTTCCTCAGCAAAATAAAGTTATGAAGGCCATCAGGGGCGTATTCAGGAATTTGTCGAGGCTTAATTTTTTTCTTTCCAGGGGGGGGCTCAGCACGGGGGCTCAGTACCCATTGGGGCATGAAAATCCCCTGAAATCAATAGATTTCACTGGTCCAGGGAAGGGGCTTAGCCCCAATAGCCCCCCCCCTAAATACGCCTCTGAAGGCCATATCCTAGTCAATTTTTGTGTGTTTTTTTTCTGTGTAAAAAGTTCTAGGGTTTCCAACGCATGTAGACTCAAGCAGGCCCATGAACTGAATTTAATAAGTGATTTAATAAGTTACTAACTAAAATTTGTTGCTGTGTAACGACATTATATATGTACTTTCTGTACCATAGTTTTCCCAGAGTATTTAACTGTTTTATTGTTCGTAAATTATAGCACAATTCCGCGCAATGAAATTGCGCAAGCGGAAGCAACCATTGCGAACAATTGCACGCATTTCCGTGCAATGGAATTCCGATTGGAAACCCTAGTTTAAACTCGCGGATTGGTTTTAATTGTGTAACTTTGACGGCATATGTTTACAATTTTATTTTACATTTGTTAGTGTTGCGAGAACTTTAAGGTATTATAAAACTAAATTGGGATATTTTCTAGATGCTTTAAAACAAAAAACAAAACAAAAACTTATTTCTTGCTACAAACTCTAGTTTTCTAATCTGCAATATGTTTGCAATTTATCCTATTTGATATATACATGAATTCATTGTTTGAAAAATCTAGAAAGTGGGTTGCAAAGATATAGGGATTAGAAAATAGGAGTTTATGACTCAATTCCTTTTTCCAACAATGGAACATTGAAAGGAATAATGTTTGAGTTTGTGGGTGAAAATATTTCTAACTAGAATACAAATGGTTTAAATAAACAAGCAACTGAGGCTTAGGGTCAGAATTTATATTTAAAGAATAGCATAGAACTTCAAAACCAAGCTTTTAATACAAAGATATTATTTCAAATTTTTTAAATGGAACTCATTACTCACATCAAACTCTAATTGTATAATTCCTTTTTCTTTGCAACCTGATGTTGTAGACCCTTCAAGTCAAAGCTTAAGAGTTTGAAGATTTACACTATAAAGTTGAAAAGAAATAAGAATTAGAAAAATTAAAGTAAAAAGTTACTTTACAAGAAAATCTCGCTTTTCATTTCAATGCTATTATAGTTTATAAAACGCCTTTTTTATATTAATCTAAAAAATTTTAAATTATAATGAATTTTTCTTTGATTTTTGTTAAGTTGCTGTTTTATCCAAAGAAACGGGACCTATGTCTTATAAATGCCTAGGTTTACCTGTGCTTAACTAGCATAGCTTTCTCTAGATTTAAAACGAGTTTGTAGAAAACTAAACCGTGACCGCGTAACAATGGTACCCCATTATTTCTTGTCCGAGCAGAAAGGATAAAAACATCTTGGGGTTTCTTTCTAAAATTAATATTTAAAGGGACTGTAAGCGTAATTTAAAGATACCTTTCGTTTATAGAGTGACAAGTCCAATTTACAACGATACCCTTTAAATCTTCGTTTGATCAAGGATTTCGTAAATATTCTAATTTATAAAGCAGGAAATTAGGTGCGAAGAAACCGTGCGAGTGTACATTAGCACGGAGTGTCCACTAGCACGGAGTGTACAGTGTACACTGTAACCTTGAGTCTCCGGTGTGGCGTTATTTCTGGGTAAACGTTAAATAATGGTAGTAGGCTCTACGCAGCAAATTTTCCGCGGCATCCGCGCATATTTTTACAGTTTACGGCAATGAGCTCAACAGAAATCTGGTATTTTACCTGAAATTTCTAAATTAGAAACTAAATTTACACACTTAAAATGTACACTATAGTTGTACAGAAGTAATTAACTATAACATTAACTCATTAGTTGCAAGTTTCAGAATCTTAACAATTAACTTAATTACGTAAACTAAGTTGTAATAACGATCCCTAATGTTAAAACAATTGATTTTTACTGTCTGCCGCTCAGCAAAAGTTGATTGATTCTCAAATATGAGAAATGCTTTCACTTAATTTACAGTTTACATTCACAGAATTGTGCGTGAATTTCGCAGAAAAATTTGCTGCGTAGAGCCTACTACCATTATTTCACGTTTACCCAAAAATAACGCCACACCGGCACTCGATCTTCAGCTATACAAATGAGGGAATCTACCTCATCGTTGTCCGGATAACGGTTTAAAGGGTACAATCGTGAATCGGACATGTCTCTCAATCAACTTTAATAAAGCGTTTTGAAGATATTATGCATTCCGCACATTTTAAATGTAGAAAATTCAAAATATCTTCTCTATCATTACTCAGATAAGGGTTAAAGTTTGAATCAGGCATGATCTTTAAATGGAGGATCAAATGAATCAAATATAAAAGTCCCTTTAGCTTGTTTGTGCAAATTTTAGAACTAGCGAAGTTTGCATATTTCTAATTATAGCAAATTACAGGTTTTCAGGTTTGTAAAACTTGTAAACAATTACTACGCTTGCTGGAACATTATTACTCGGTGTCCAATTCTAAATCACATTTCTCTTAGTTTCAATTTTATTGGACATGCTAAAATGTATCTTTAAATTGTGCGATTTAAAGTTTCAATCAGATAAGCTCGGCAGCACAGAACAAATAGCTGAACTATTCTTACCTAATTCAGCTACCAAATTCAGTTATAAAGCTGAACTATTCTTAACTAATTAAAATACATATCTCTTATTATAAAATTCTAAAACTATACATCACATTGCTTGATTATTAAAAATGAAAGACAAATTGAGTTCTATATTAATTGGTTTAAGACAGTGTTAATTAGCTTGAGTTGCTTAATTGAATAATTGATTGATTGATTGATTAGGTGGGTGGTTGGGAGTGGGTCCCATGCAGCTGTGTATCCCAGGGGAAAAGAGTTTAGACAACAGATTATAGAAGAGCTCTCCAATATTCAGGGAATACAGGTAGTAAAATTCAGGGAATACAGGTAGTAAAATTCAAGGAATACAGGTAGTAAAATTCAGGGAATACAGGTAGTAAAATTCAAGGAATCCAGGTAGTAAAATTTAAGAAATAGAGGTACTAAAATTCAAAGAATATAGGTGGTAAAATTTAAGGAATATAGATAGTAAAATTCAAGCAATATAGGTATTAAAATTCAAGGAATATAGGTAGAAAAATTCAAGGATTATAGGTACTAAAATTCAAGAAATATAGGTTGTAAAATTCAAGGAATGCAAGTAGTAAAATTCAAGGAATACAGCCTGTATTATACAGGTAGTAAAATTCAAGGAATACAGGTATTAGAATTTAAGGAATACAGGTAATACAATTCAAGGAATGCAGGTAGTAAAATTCAAGGAATACAGGTAATACAATTCAAGGAATGCAGGTAGTAAAATTCAAAGAATACAGGTTGTAAAATTTAAGGAATACAGGTACTAAAATTCAACGAATATAGAATTTAGTGTTTGTTTATCTAGGTATTTGATCACCCTGATATCCCTGAGAGGTTTCACTACAAACTAAGCAAGAATACTCCACCAATACTGGTTCTAGCTTCTCCGGGTACTGTTATCCTGAGCAGTACATCAGACGTTCAGAGACCTTCCTACCTGGATAGAAACGGTGAGTTTTCGTACAATATGATAATTCATCTCAAACAGTGAAACCTTTGTTAAAAACAGTTAATAGGGATTTTAAGCATCTTTGAGCATTTAACAGTCTGAAATTTGGGTCCAGGTCTTGTTTCCTATTATTTTTGGCTTGAAGCATTGTTTCTGGACGAAATATCAGAAATATACTTGTATTAGAATTTATGAAGCCAAAAATCATCGGTTCACTAAGAAGGGAAAAGGCTTTAGTTCTTTTAAAATTCGGTGATGGTGATGGACCAAACTTCTGTAGAGTAAAAAAATAGATGTTAGTTCCATAATTTATTGAAAATATATTTCGGTCTGGGTTGACCCTCGTCAGTTCTTGAGATTGTTTCTGTCCCAAAGATTAAAGATTAGTTCTGTTAAAAAATCACAGAAAAATTTCATGAACTCGGAATTTTAAGAACTTTGCTACTTTAAACGCCAAGTTTTTTAGATCTTAAATTCGGGTTTTTTCACAACATTTTGTTTCAAATTTAAATGTAGACTTGAATTCCAAAACTTTAAGATACGAAACTGGAGTACAAATATACAAGAACTTTTAAGATTTTTTTTTCTTAGAAGAAAAAATTTAAGTTGTAGTTTAAAATTTGGAAGTTTTTAATACAACATAAAAGACGCTGATTATACTCGCCACACACTCCGACATACAGTCATCACCAGAAAACAATGGAATAGAAAGACGACATTATTGCAATACTCAAGCGTTTTGATGTTGTTATAAATCAGATATTGTTACTAGTAACTTAGCAAAGAACTTTTTAAGTGAAATGGGTCTATTTACACTGTACAATCTATCGGAGACCTTTGATGTTTCAAACCTTAAATTCTGCTAGTTCAAATCGGCAAAGACTGAAATATCAAAATTAGAATTTGATGCGATCAATCATTGCTCTGGTTTAGGGTAGTTTCTCAAACTGGGTTTATTAAATTTTAAGTCATTTAAGTTGCCTTCTCCGGAAACTGGGTTTATCAAATTTAAAAATATTTAAGTTGCCTTCTCTGGAAACTGGGTTTATTAAATTTTAAGTCATTTAAGTTGCCTTCTCTGGTTAAAATTTGTGTTTAGAAGTTTGTATGTTGAATAGAGGAAACTTGTGTACGTGTTCAAACTGCAGAGTGACTGATAAGGTTTTCTGCAATCTGCATAAACTTAGATTCAACTTTTTTACAGGGGTACACACACATGATTAGACTTTAATGATTAACAATCGTTCAGATTCTCCGGAATATTCACAAAGGGTAAAATTTAAATAAAAAATAAAAAATGGGAATTAACGATTTTGAAACAATGTAAATCGAATGGTTTAACAAATTAAGAACGTGCCAAGCAATTTTATAGATTTTTTTTTAAATAGAAATTTTTTTTAGCGATTAACAATCGTTAACGATCAACTATCGTTAAAGATCAACTATCCTTAACGCTCAGCTATTGTTAACAATCAACTATCATTAACGATCAACTATCGTTAACGGTCAACTATCGGTAACGATCAGCTATCGTTAAAAATCAACTATCATGAACAATTAATTGTTGTTAACGATCCTCCATATTTTATCAAACATTATCAAAGGATAAAAATCTTGGACAATTAAAAAAAGGAAGAAAAGATTTGGACAAAATCATCTGAAACAAACAAATGTGCCTCTCAGACCAGAGCTGGGAACTTTAGAATAGATAATCTTTGATCCTGACTGCTTAATCCGATTATCCATTGTGGACACTTTTAATTTTAGTCCTTAATACATTCCTTTTTCTCTCTCTTCGAATATAACATATGGGTACCTGAGGGGTAGCATAGGCTAAAAAAAATTCAACATTTATTTCAAAAATCGATTTTGATTTGAATTTTAAAGTTCTACGGGCAAAGCCAAGCACTTTCCAACGAACGAAAAAAAATGCAAAAATTTCCGGTCACATTTTGCAAACTTTTTCATGAAATTTCGCATTTTTTTCGGGGAAATAAATGAAGCGAAATTTCGCGAAAAAAAAATTTCGCGAAATGCCTGATGTCTCCTTGTTGATCTTAAATCTATATTTAAATGCATTATTTTATTCGTGAAATGTTGCATTATTTTTTTTCGCATTTTTCGTAAGAGAATGAATCATTAGAAAATGAAACAAAATGGTCGAGAAAAAAAATATTTCGCGAAAAATGCGAAATTTTTTCTTTTTCGCTCGAAACCCTACTAGCACTTCACAAAGTCTATTTAAAAATTATCTTTTGTTTAGGTGGTTACAACCCCCAGAGATTGATTGAGCAGACGAAGATGGGAGTCGCTGGTTATGATCCTGAAGAACCAGATATGAGAGGAATATTTATGGCGAGAGGACCAGGTAAATTATAATTTCTTGAGCTATACTATTACACCTTTGCGACCTTGTAACTCAAAATTTCCAGTAGCATCCAAAAGCAGAAAAATTGCCATGTTGCAAATAAATAATTTTACAGATTATTTCTAAAATTACATTATTTTGACAAATGTTATTTTACATGATAGCAAGAAGGCAAACTTCATAATTTTGACCTTTTTGATTATTTAATAACTATGCTAAAACATGAAAATTAAACGATCGTTTTAAAAACTAATAAGAGGCAGTTTTATTGATTTAAAAACGCAACAATTAATACTTTTTAATGGTTGTTAAACGGTTTTTAAAATTAAACAACATTGTTTTTAAAACGATCATTTTAAAAGAAAAAAATGATCATTTCATTTAAACTGTAAATGTCTTTTCTAAATTTTTCGATTGTTTTAAAATGACGCCCATCCCTACCTATACTCCTGAATCACTGTGCCTCTCTCTACCTATACTCCTGAATCACTGTGCCCCTCCCTACCTATAATCCTTAATCACTGCAGTGCCCCTCCAAACATATACTCCTAAAGCAGTGTGCCCCTCCCTACATATACTCCTAAAGCAGTGTGCCCCTCCCTACATATACTCCTAAAGCAGTGTGCCCCTCCCTTCATTTACTCCTAAAGCAGTGTGCCCATCTTTACCTATACTCCTGAAACTCTGTGCCCCTCCCTACATATACTCTTGAAACACTGTGCCCCTCCCTACTTATACTCATGAAGCACTGTGCCCCTCCCTTCATATACTTCTAAAGCACTGTGCCCCTCCCTACCTATACTTCTGAAGCACTGTGCCTACCCCTACCTATATGTACTCCTGAAGCACTATGCCTACCCCTACCTATGTGTACTCCTGAAGTACTATGCCTACCCCTACCTATATGTACTCATGAAGCAGTGTGCCCCTCCCTACCTATACTCCTGAAGCATTGTGCCCCTCCCTACCTATACTCCTGGAGCATTGTGCCCCTCCCTACCTATATGTACTCATGAAGCAGTGTGCCCCTCCATACCTGTACTCCTGAAACACTGTGCCCCTCCCTACCTATACTCCTGAAGCACTGTGCCTACCCCTGCCTATACTTCTGAAGCACTGTGCCTACCCCTACCTATACTCCTGAAGCACTGTGCCTACCCCTACCTACACTCCTGAAGCACTGTGCCTACCCCTACCTATACTCCTGAAGCACTGTGCCTACCCCTACCTATTTGTACCCATGAAGCACTGTACCTTCAATATACTCTGAACGTGATTGATGATCTAGTCTGGTATTCACCAGATACAAAGATGTAAAAAGATAATATTATATATTTACATCAAAGGACATCTCACGGGTTCCAGCAGTCCAAATACTCCCCTCCTTCCCCCCCCCCACACGCGATAAAACATAAGTTTAGAGAAAAATCAGACATAATTTGCCAAATTGGGAGCAACCAATAAGCTTGTTCTTCAGACGGTTTTACACCATATAATCTAATAAGATTTTATCAAAGCTTTTTATTTTATCAACAAAGTTTTTAAAGTAAAAAGGTTTTCAGATAACATTAAACTAATCCAAGTTTGTTGATCCAATAACAGGAATTTATCTAACATTATTTTTGTTTATCTTTGTCATGAAAAGGAATTGAGTCTATGTAACAAACTCAAATTTTTTAGTCACTATATCTTTGCAACTTTGTAAACTTAGGTTATATTATCTGTAGGACAATACATAGTTTGAAATATCTAAGGTCTACGACATTTGGTAGCAAAGATATAAAATCAGAGTTTGTGGAAAAGACTCATTCCTTTGGTTTTCCCATTGAAAAATAAGTTTCAATATTTTATTTCCAGCCTTCCTGTAACCCAGAAGTAAATCCCAAATCTATATGTAAATTTCGCTTGTCTGGGTGTCTATTTGTTTGTTTGAATCCAATAAACGCCAAAGCGTCTGAACCGATAGGGCCCAAATTTTGTGTGGGACCTCACGTAACCCAAGGGAGGGTTTATGAATGATCAAAATTAGACAAATCTGTGTTAAAAAGTTTTTTTATTTTTGTAAAATTTTGAAAATGCGAGAAAAATATTATTAAATCCGCGAAGCGCCCTAAAAGCCTTGTAATTAGAAGCCGAGGACGGGATGAAGGCTGTCAGACCAAAAACTGATTATTTAAAGGGATTGTAAGTGTAACTTCAATTGACCCTCGTGAAAAGATGGAAATGCCCGATTCACAACAGATCCAATTGGAACCTTTATCTGATCAATAATGTAGAGGATATTGTCGTTTTTCTACATTTAAAGTGTACAAATTTTTCCTATTTGTTTCCCTTCATATGCGCAAGTCACTTTTGAGGAGAAACTTCAGTTAACCAAAAGGTCAACCGGACAATGCTTTAAAGGGGATCGTTTTTAACTGTTTAAACCTTTTTACCCATTTTAAACCGTTTTAACCACTTTAACCGTTTTTAACAGTTTTTAATTGGCTATTGCCATTTTTTCTTTGAGGGCCTTGAGCGCTTAATGTCTCTTTATTGTATGAATGTATTAAGTCTAAATTCTATAATATCTGGTCCACGGCCCGCTTACAAATATGCTTCTATTTACCGATCTATACTATTCTGGGCCAGCATACATGCAATTTTGAGTGTGTGCTTCACACCACGGTATCCATCAAGCTTCCCACCTTCTGGACGAACTCCCCCGAGGTGTGGTTCCTCCAGGCTGAGGCCCAGTTTGCGATCAACCACGTGACGACTTCTCTAACCAAGTTTCACCACTGTGTTGCAGCCCTTCCCCAGGACGTTGCCACTCGCCTCATAGATATGATCTGTAATCCAACTTCAGATCCCTATGCAACCCTGAGAACCTGCCTTATCCAGATGTACACTCTCCAGAGTATCCCGGTTCTGACTGATCAAAGACCCTCGGAACTCATGGATAAAATGTTAGTACTCCTCCCTGAAAATGAGAAACCTGGTTTCTTTTTCTTAGATCTGCTTATGGATCGTCTCCCTGCAGATATTCGTTCCCATCTACTGACGGAATCGATTGCTGACCCTAGACGGATGGCTACCAGAGCAGACGAGCTATGGACCGTTCGTGGAAGAGTTAATGCCATTCATGCAGTTTCGTCTCAAGACTACAGACAGATGGAGGATGTATCGCTGGTATCTCGAAGCTCAAGAACCTCTGGTCCTCTTCTGGTCGCACTAGATCCAGCAGTCCAGGTCGATCTACATCCTCATCTACCTCCTCAGAGTGCTGGTATCATCGCAAGTGGGGAAACCAGGCTAACCAGTGCAGGTTGCCATGTTCTATTTCGGGAAACTAGTTAATGGCGGGGATGTTGTAAACATGGTTCCCGTCAAAAACACACTCCTCACCCTTGTTATTCCTCAAAAACAAGCTCAGCTCCGCCACGTTCCTCGTTGATACCGGTGCTTCTGTGTCAGTGTTCCCTCACCTTCCCCAATCACCTTCAGCTCCAGGTTCTGGTTAGATTATGATATACTGCATCTGGTATAAATACTGTATTTGATAAATATATATTCAGTCAGTTTATTTGGTCTTATTCATTTGGTCTTATTTATTTCGTCGCTACAAAGTGAAGATAAAAATGACAAAAAGGGAAAAATATTCAAAATATTTTTGTTTTGTTTTTTTCAGATTTAAAAGTGTGAAACATGTGTCTACATCCATTTTTCAAGGGCATTTCAAAAATATAATTTTAAATCTGTAGTTGTAGTTTTTTTAAATTATTAAATAACGACGACATAAAATGTAAAGAAAGTTCTATACTATAAACTACAGACGTCATGTAAAGGAACATGTTGAGAAAATAAAAATTAATCTTATCATCGAAAATAAGTAATCTTGTACAATTTCTTCAATTATTAGTTACTATTTTCTCATTATTCTGGCTTCTCATTTTTCACAAAGACTTTAGCAGATTTTCTAGAATTATTATTGAAAAGACGACATTTGAAGAATTTGAAGAAATCTGCGAATAAATTCAAAGAAGATAAGAAATTCAATATGATAATGAGAACGAAATAATCGATTTTGATTATTGACAAATTTCATTTGAGAAATATGCTCCTAACCATCTAATTAGATTACTGTATAATTTTTACTTTATTTTTCGTTGTTGTTATTTAATAATTTAAAAAAACGATTTCGGAAAACGTATTCACCCCCAAAGTAGAATTTTTGAACGTCGAATTTGCGCTCAAACTCAGGATTTACGGATCTTTTAAAAGTTTAATATGTCTCAAATGAATCCGTAAGAAGTTTTCCACAACACTGCATACTCAATTCAACTACCTTACATAGACGGTCACTCCCTTTAAGACTACTTTTCCATTTCAGTTTTGACAAGCTTTTTTCATATTTTAAGTTTACAAGTAAACCACAGAAGCTCTTATTTGACAACTTCTCTTAGTTTCTACGTTTTCATGTGTTTGAAAGTCATTGTATTGATATATAAGATGGCGACTGTAGTAAATCTGAATAGTCCAAATTAACCTTGAAAATGCCAAATTTTAACATTAAAGTCCCATCCATTTTTGGTAACCCTGTAGATAACAAAAGTTAATTTATCTTTATTTTTAGCATTTAAAGACACGGGTGAGGTTCTGCCCCCAGTCCAACTAGTAGATGTATATGAACTCTTGTGTAAGGTAAGTAAACCCCTGTTAGAGGAAAGGAGGAATTTGCGGTTTTGAGCCACTCAATATGTACTCCGAACCCCACACATCTCATTCTCGGTTTCCAAACCCCCACAATATTGATTTTTCATTTCGTTTATTTGTCATAACAAGTAACTTTTAAACTGCAAATAATTTTTCTAAATTGAGGGGTTGCTAACTAGCTGTGTTCGGAATATAGTATTTAGGGCTCATGGCCGTACAACTTTCCATCCCTCGTTCAGCTAATAGATATGTAAAGTAATAAGTTGGAATGAGCTTTAATCCTTTGATAAGAATTTAACTCATTAACTCATCAAATATATATTAAATCATTCATAATTTCCTAACTGTCTATTATCATTATTATCTCAATTTTTTGGTTCATAAAAGTATATTTGTTTGTAATTATTCACATTTTTTAATTGCTATGATTAACATTATTGTTTATAAGCTCTTATTTGTATTAATACTTAATGGTTATGATCATCATAATTATTTCTATATTGTTATAAGTANGTTCATAAAAGTATATTTGTTTGTAATTATTCACATTTTTTAATTGCTATGATTAACATTATTGTTTATAAGCTCTTATTTGTATTAATACTTAATGGTTATGATCATCATAATTATTTCTATATTGTTATAAGTAATATTATAAGTTATAAGTATTTCCAGAATTTTTAATAAAATATGTATACTTTAAAAAATATGAATGGATAATAATAAATTATTAAGGTTTTGGATATAGAGCCGCGTCCTAATGATGGCATCTTTGCTAGAATTCAGGCCTTTCTCAAGTAAGAAAAATATTTAATCTTTTGATGAAGTTTTTCTGTCAAATTTTGAGAAAAAAAAAGAAAAAAATTGGCACGGAAAATTTATTTTAATTACTTTTAACTGTCTAACGGAGGTATTTTTTCCATTTCAGATTTTTTTTATTTCAGTCAAATATTATTTTTTTTCTTGTTATAGTCCATGGAAAAAGTGAATTCTAATTAGTTATTTTTAATTCTTGAAAATTAAATAAACAAAGAATTGGAATTCTCCCCCCCCCCCTCCTCCCTACTTTCCAGGATATTTCTATTGTAGAGCTTGAAACTCATTCAGCACTTTCCCCAAATCCTTCTTTCAAAACCAACTCTCCATTTTTCGGCCTCTACAGATAGAGACGGACATCGATATCGCTTTTTAAATACATATATCGTTTTTGGTTTCGAATTCGAAAAGTTACAAAACAAAATTTTCTTCAAAATTTTGAGATTTACAAAAAAAATAATTATAGAATGAAAAAAAGTACAAAAATGCAAATTCAAGCTTAAAAAAGGCTTCAGTGTAAAAATTCTTTTAAAAGTAAATTAAAATCCCCAGCCCTGAGCTTCTCTAAACCTTTTAAAATAAATAAATTAAATCAAATCTAGGTTTGACACTTTTTCCACTGATCCTTCGATTTTTTTTTACACTCAGTTTCTTTTTCAATTTAGTTTTGTCATCTTTCTCATTTTATATTCAATTTATTTTTTATTTTTTGTAGTCTTTAATGGCTTTTTTTCTATTTTTTTAATTCTTGTAATTTCTTGTTCGATTTCTATATCTCTAATTCTTGTAATTTCTTCAGTTCTTAATTTTTTTCCTATTTAAAGGGAACTAAGTAATCATTCTTATTCATCAAGCTTCTCATTGTTATATTCTTGTCTAAAGTTTTCAAATTATAATCATGAGATTGCCCATCCCTCCTCGTTTGGCCCCCTCCCCTAGTTAGAGAATAGGTATAAGGTTGATATGCATGTGCATAGCTCAATTTTTCATGGCCAGCTCAAAGAAAAAAACTAGACCGATAATGCCTAAACAAGGGTCGAAAAATGAAAAAAAAATACTTTTTTTGCTTTAAACAAATTTCAAAGTGTGACACATGTTTCTACATGGCGACGCCCTAGAAAAAAAGCCTTAGAGAATAGATGTTTAAAATGTACATTTATAGCCCAATTTTTCACGGTCAGCTCATTGAAAAAATTAGACCGATAACTTTTACAGTTTTAGCGCAGGGAGGGTTTAAAAAAGTTACAAACAGGGTGTAAAATTTTGTTTAATATTTTTGTTTTGTTTTATACATCCATTTTTCAAGGGCTTTTCAAAAATATAGTTTTTAGATCTGTAGCTTTAGTCGCAAAAAAGTTATGGGCTATTTTAGATTTTTTTCACAGACCGGACTTTTTTCCGCCCTGTACCCTACCCTTTAAATTTAAAAAAATATTTTTTAACAAAAAATTCTTTAAATTACTAATCATTGAAATTCACAAAACTTCACGGTGATAGTGTAAAAATGAGAGTTCTAGGACAAAAAATTTACAGGGGGGTGGGTGCCAAACGCCCCCCCCCAGCCTGTTTTGGGTTAAAAGTACAAAATAATAAATGTATAAAAACTAACTTTTTCTCCCCCATCTCTAGTAGGTTTAAAGGAAAAAAACTTTTGAGAATAATTATAGATTTGTGTTTCTACTTAGCTTAGTATGGTATACCATAGTATAGAAATTATTCACTAGGTTTGTTTAAAAGCAATACTGCAGTGTGATGGTGGTTTCTATACAGGGTTACCAACTAAGAATGAAACTGTATTGACTACTTGAATCGGAATTGAAATTGAAACTTTTGATTTAAAGGGAGTGACCGGCAATGTACATACTAGTTGAACTAAGAATGTAGTATTCCGGAGAGATTTTTTAGGATTCATTTGAGACATATAAAACGTTTTAATGATGTCTAATTACTGAGTTTGAGCGTAAAGTCGACGTTCAAAATCATCCATTTGGGTGGTTAGGTTTGGAGAACCGATTTTTATTTAAATTATTAAACAACGACGACAAAAAATATAAAACTGTATTATAGTAAACTAATGAGATGTTTAGGAACATTTTTATCAATGAATCTTGTTAGAATCAATTATTTCTTTTTCGTCATTATAATGAATTTCTAATCCTTTATGAATTTGTTTGCTGAATTCTTCAAATTCTTCAAATGTCGTATTTTTAATAAAAATTCCAGGAAATATACAGAATAAATTGTTTGTGAACATTAAGACATTATACAGAAATCAATAGCTGAATAAGATTACTTATTCTCGATGATAAGAGTTAATTTTTATTTTCTCAACCTGATCCTATAAAACAACTAATTGGTTTACTGTAGAATTTGATGTTTTCGACATCATTATCGAAAATTTTTTTTTAAACCGATTCTCAAAATCATCCCTCAAAACTGAACAATCTATGAAGATTTTAAAGATTGAATTTGCGTTCTTGCTGAACAAATATGCTCCGTAAGAACATCTCATGGGTCTCAAACGATTCCTAAAAAGATTCTCCACAACACTACACTACAGTCTCAGTTCAACTACTAAACATTGCCGGTCACTCGCCTTAAATGTAGTATTTAACTGGCTTATTTAACTGGCAGTGTGGTTTATTTAATTGTATTTGGAAATATTCATCTGAATCAATATATAAATATATTAAAATAAATGCAGACCTATTTATCTACATGCGGGACATTAAAGACTGTACGTAATATCATTAAAGACGACTGTTAGACTCAAGTTATGCTTTTAATAATCCAAGACATCTATTGTTAAATTTACACAGGCACACTATAGACAAGATTGCTTAAATGATAAATTTAATAATTTTGTATGTCCTTTACACCGATAACTTCATTTGTTTATAATTAAGAAAATTTGGCCATAACTATCAAATAAAAAACATTAAAAGGCATGGACAGTTTTCATCAGATATTGGAAACACATTGTTTGATACCCATATCGATATAATTTAAAGAGTTTTTTATATTAACAAATTTTTTAAATTTTTTTTTGTTGCAATATTTTTAGAATATGTAAAAGCAGGTAAACCATTCACCCCCCCGGACTAACCAGAGTGAGAAGCATTCGGTTTTTTTCATTTGAAATACAACTTTTTTTGGTATATAATTCAACAATCTTTTGATTTGTTTATTTTATACTTTTTCATTAAAACGTCTATGCCGACAAAAACGCAAAGGAGAATAAAGATTAAAATATTACGTATAAGGGGTCTACTTGTTATCAGAAGTCACAGCTTTCTGAAATGTTAACAGAACCTTAAAATCCACGTAATCCACCATAATATATATTTATCAGTTCAAAAGAATTTTTGAATGTTGGGATAAACATTTTATTTTATTTTTTCATTTTTCAGGGGCGGAGCAACAGATTATCAGTGTTCCAACTTTCTCCTACTTCTTCTACTACCTGCCCTACTCCAAACATTGTAGAGTAGCTTTTCTTCAAAATTACTCCAACCTACTCCTACTCTTATTCCTATTCCTTCTCCTACTCCTACTTCTACTCCTACTGCCAACTCTACTCCAAACATTGTAGATAATTCCTATTCCAGAACTACTCTAACCTACTCCTACTTCTATTACTACTACTCCTACTCCTATTCCAGAACTACTTCAACCTACTCCTACTCCTATTACTCCTACTCCTACTCCTACTCCTACTTCTATTACTCCTACTCCTACTCCTATTCCAGAACTACTCTAACCTACTCCTACTCCAACTCCTACTCCTACTGCCTGTACACTACTCCAAACATTGTAGAGTATTCCACAACTTCCGAACAACTCCAATCTACTTCTCATACCCTAATTTATAGACTTTGGACAAAAGAGTTTGTACACCAGAATAAAAAAGTCTGATCAGGCCTTCACTTGTGAAAAAAATGGCTTTCTAAACTATTAGATAAAAAAATCAATGGAAAAGTGTGATTTAAAAAATGGAATCAAAGCAAGTTTTCAATGGAACATTAGGCTTTCAGCAATCATAACGTTGTGAACTTTTTTAACAGTGTACATGTCTTATTTATTGTACATGTCTCAGTGATTGTACAAGCATCGTACGTAGTGATTGTACCATACAAGGTACTAATGCAAGAAAAGTTAATTGCGGTTGTGTATACTCTGCGTACATATTGAAACCAGTTCTCTTTGGGAGGAATTTGTAAATAAGAATAGATGCATCAGTGTTCGTTTAGTATCCGAGGAGGTTAAAAGCATTAAATTTTGATAATTTTGATAATACACATAATAGTTTCCTATGACCAGAATATTTCATTGATTATTTTTGGTGAAAATAGATTCCATGTCAGACTGTGACATCCGTCTTGTGTTTACTTTTCCGCCCAAAGACAGTACACTCCAGTACAAAAAATGCGTACACCTTTTCTTGCATTAGTATCTTGGTACAGGAAATACCAGTACTTTTATACAGTATTGTGTATACTGCAATTGCTCAAAAGCAAATAAATATATACTGAGCTGGGAATTTTTGTATTGGATGCTCTTAATCTAGCTTGATCGATCTCAATATCCACTGTGGAAACTTTTAATTTTTCTGCTTAATCCTTTCTTTTTGGATATCCCTACTGGGTTCCGACTAATGCAAATGTTCTCTCAGTGGTTGCACGCAAATTTCTAATTAGCTGTTTGGTTTTTACAATCCACACTCTGATTGAGAGATTAAATTAATCTGCAGATAAACCAAAAGAAGAGATCAAGCATTGATCTTGATTTATATAATTCAAAAGTTTCCAGTTCAGACCTGGGATTGTTTGCACTGAATGTACAGTAAAGTCGATGATTCCTAGAGTTAGATGAAATCCAAATCCAAAAATCCCAGCGTTGAATAAAGACGATCAAATTATCAATTTTCATAAAATTAAACTTTATCAAAGTTTTATAATCATCAAAAAATCAATGGAAAAAAGATTTCTTAATCTACGGACGATATTGTCATTAAAGAAGAAAAAAAATCATTGAATTTCAGGGTTTTTTACTAGCTTGAAAATATCTTAACTATTGCTTTCTATTACTCTGCTTTAACACGTTATAACACATTCAATATTAAACTTTAATATATCTCAGGTTAAAATAGTTTTATAAAGATTATCAAATACGAAATTTACAATCATACTCGTTTTTTTATGCATACTTTTAAATCAATGGTTATGTTATTTTCGTTATTAAACAATATTTTACGTTAATTTGGGTTTTTAAGGGAATGCCGTGTTATTTATGCCTGATTCAAAACACACTATTTAACCCTTAATCTGAACAACAATGTTTCTACAGCAAGAACATAGTCACGTAGAAAAACCACAATTAAAAAAAACAATTTCTAGGATTATATCTTATGAAGTCTTGACCGGGCAAAGTTTTAAAGGGTACCGTTGTGAATCAGACATTCCACTCTATGTTTGCAGGGAGACTTGAACTTCGTGTACAGTCCCTTTAGCGGAACTTTACCAACTAGTTTTACTCTTTTGTTGAGCTAAATTTGACAATTAACACTTTTGTTTCTTCATCTGTTCTTTCTAAAAATTAATAAAAAATGAACAATCAATTAAAATTTAGATTTAAAATTCTTGACAATTTTTTTGCATGTACAACATCAATCCAATTTATACTTTTTCAAAGAACTCTGATAATTTAAAAAGTAGAAAAAAATCCTTACGATTCGGGTTAAAAGTATGAAAATTAGCTTTTCATCAAATTATTTTTTTTTCAAAAATTTTAAATTCTCTGAATTATGAAAAAAAAGTGTGTTTACAATGTTTATAATTAGTACTCTCACCGCTTTGTAAGTATGAATGAAAAGAAAAAAGAATTTCAATTAAAATTAATTTTAATTGACTTTAGAGAATTTTAATCAAAATTCTTGAAAAGAAGTTTAAACCTTTAATTAAATGTATTATGATTTTGAATAACTTTTCTAAATTTAAAGCTGTTCAGGTGTTTTTTTTCAAATTATTTATATACATGACAATTATATGAAAATATATCTATTAACTGTTAATTGTTTGTTGACAATTGTTTTAGAGAAGTTTTTCAGGAGACAGAGACAAAAACAGAGGGATAAAATTAAAGAAAATTTAAAGTTGTCAAAAAACAAATTAAAGATACAAAAAATGACTAAATTAAAAAACTAATGATACAAAAAATTAAAAATATTAAAAAAAAATCAAAGATTTTCAAAATTTAATGGAAATAAAATTAATTTTAAGATGCCATACTATGGATGAGAGATGTCATAAAATAAATGAAAGATGACAAAGGATGAATGTAAGATGCCAAAGAATAAATGAAAGATGACAAAGATTAGATGAAAGATGACATAGATTAAATGAAATCCAATCGTTATAGGGTTTAAAGACAGCATGGAGCTTTGTAAAAAGAGGGTATGATATTTCCATATTTTTACTCATGCATATTTATAAGATTGACTTGCGGTTATCTGTTATAAAATATTTTTTAAACTAGAAAACAATGATATCTTCCACATCTTGTGATTTTGAACATATTATGTTTAGGTTATTATATTGTTAAAAGAATACATCTTGATGAAAACCTAAGCTGGAATCACCAAGCTGTAAAAAACAAAGCATCTAGCGCAGTGTTTGCATTATCCAATGTAAGAAATCTACTTCCATGTAACATTAAGCATACTATTTATAACTCATTATTTCGCTCATTTGTAGAATATGGAATTTCAGCCTGGGGGAGAAATAAAAGTCCTGAAATGAAAAAAATAAGCTAGCTCCAAAAACGTGCAGTCAGAATTATTGAAAAAGCAAAAACAGATTCACATACTGATCCTCTTTTTTTTAAGTACAAAATCCTTAAGCTAAATGATTTTACTGAATTTAATCAAGCAACATTTATATATAAATACACGAAAAACCTTCTGCCCTCCTCATTTAACAACACTTTTAAAAAACTCGGAAATTTTGGAAGATATCTTAACTATCAAATTGACTTTTTAAATACAGGCTTATTAGAATATCTTCCCTCATATGCACTTCTTAAGATATGGAATAAACTGCCACTTGATTTAACCCTATCTCTACTGGGGTACTTGAAAACCAGGATATGCTGGGGGGTCAAATTTAGAGGGGGGGTCAAATTGACCCCACCCCCCTCTAAATCCCATGTTTGATGTTCAAATATGACAAATGATAAATCATTGGAAAGCTCTTGTGCTCTATTTTTAGAATCTGCAAGAACATTTACAAATTTGCAAAAATTGAACTTTTTATCGCAAAATCCAGTTATATAGTAAAAATGTTTGCAAAAAAAAATTTGTCCAAAAAATGAAAAATTATACATTTTTGAAAAGCCCTTGACCATGCCATTTCAAATATGCCAAAATATTTGCAAAATTTTAAATAACCTGATTTTTAATGAAGAAAAACAAAAAATTTGCAAATTTCCTTTGACAGGTTGTTTGCAAAAACTTTGTATTTTATTTCTTAAAACTTGTGCAATTCGTTTCCTTATGTCAAAGGCTTTCCAAAAAGCTAAATTTTATCAAAATCTGACCAGTGGACGTGGGCAAAAACAAAGATTTAGTTTGTTACAGGAAAAAGCAGTCATTCAGGCAGTGTGCCTGAGGACTCAGGCAGTTAGTATTAAAGCCCGGTTTTAGGCCTAAAGGGAGGGCTTTGGGTATGTAGGAAAAGTCAGAAAATTTCAACAGCCTCAGACCAGTACTTTTTGAGTTATTTAAAAAAAACTACAGGGGAGGGTCAAATTGACCCTCCCCCCCCCGCAGGAATAGGGTTTAAAAAAGTTTATTTAAAATGTTATCTGACGCCTTCATCTCTAAGTGCAAGTAAACGGCCGGAGTAACTGGACAACACTGGGTTCCCAACAGGGAGTAAGGAATAGAAGGGAGATATAACTGACGCGGTTCGCCCTACCATAGATTATACATCCTTTGCAGACGAGTACTCCATTTATAAAAGAAGTATTTGTCTGCAGATGTACAATTACCGCGTATACAATAACCTACTTTTTATACAAATGGAGTACTCGTCTGCGAAGCATGTATAATCATATGGTAGGGCGAACCGCGTCAGTTATATCTCCCTTCTATTCCTTACTCCCTGGTTCCCAAGCTAGTATACTAAATACCTTGAAATAGGATTCCTCACCTCCAAAAGAAAAAATATTGTTATTGTCTTATAAACCTGAGAAAGTCAAAGAAGTAAAATGTCGTCTTTTATGAAAATATTCCCTGTTTTTAATTTAAGTATATTGGGTAATTTCAACTCAGCTTTAAGAGCATAATCATCCCCCACCCCAAGGGCTTAAAGGGAGTGTTCGCAAAAATGAAAGGGGGTATAGCCATACTTGAAAAATAAGAGCCTATAACGAAAAACGTAGCGTCTATCCAAATTCAAAAAGTTGCAACATGCGACTCGGATCGTAAAAAAAAAATCAATTTAATTTCAAAAGCGCTTATTTTTCGCCGTAAGCCTATACCCCCTTTCATTTTTCGCGAAAACTCCCCCAGTTTTTTTTGGGTAAATCGTAGGCCTTCTATAATAGGGTTGAGTATTAACTGTTTTCTCGAAATAGTCAAATTTTCATTTAGTTTAATAATTTTAATTTTTAATCAAAAGTCAAAACCTAAATTTAGTTGCAACTTTGCAATTTAGCCTGAAAACAAGACATTTAAAAAAAAAATTTTCATAAAAATATTGAAATATTTATTTTCTATGATTTTACACTCATACAAAGTAAGACATTAATTAAACTATAAATTGTGTTTGACAAATTGACACTTCTCAAAAAATTTTTGCAAAGAATTACTTTCTTTCATCTCCCATTAAACATCTCCCTTTAAAGGGAGTTTAAACATCTTCCTTTAAACATCTCCCTTTAAGCATCTCCCTTTAAACATCTCCCTTTAAGCATCTCCCTTTAAACATCTTCCTTTAAACATCTCCCTTTAAACATCTCCCTTTAAACATCTCGCTTTAAACATCTCCCTTTAAACATCTCACTTTAAACATCTCCCTTTAAACATCTCCCATTAAACATCTCCCTTTAAACATCTCACTTTAAACATCTCCCTTTAAACATCTCCCTTTAAACATCTCTCTTTAAACATCTCCCTTTAAACATCGCTCTTTCAACATCTCGCTTTAAACATCTCCCTTTAAGCATCTCCCTTTAAACATCTTCCTTTAAACATCTCCTTTAAACATCTCCCTTTAAACATCTCCCTTTAAACATCTCCCTTCAAACATCTCCCTTTAAACATCTCGCTTTAAACATCTCGCTTTAAACATCTCCCTTTAAACATCTCATTTTAAACATCTCCCTTTAAACATCTCCCTTTAAACATCTACCTTTAAACATCTTCCTTAAAAAATCTCCCTTTAAACATCTCCCTTTAAACATCTCTCTTTAAACATCTCCCTTTAAACATCTCTCTTTCAACATCTCGCTTTAAACATCTCCCTTTAAACATCTCCCTTTAAACATCTGCCTTTAACATATCCCTTTAAATATTTCCCTTTTAACATCTCTCTTTAAACATCTCCCTTTAAATATTTCCCTTTTAACATCTCGCTTTAAACATCTCCCTTTAAACATCTCCCTTTAAACATCTCCCTTTAAATATTTCCCTTTTAACACCTCTCTTTAAACATCTCCCTTTAAACATCTCCGGCTGAGTGCATTTTGTCAAAATGAATTATTGAGAAAATATCTTTTGAAAAGTATCCAACGTTTACTGTTTACGAAGGCATAATATAACATTTTATGCCTGAGTCCATACATGATTAGGGCTGGGCACTTTGAGGCTTATTACAATTTGTGCTTTAACAGATAGTTTAATTAACATAATGAAATGTACAGGGTCACCAACACAGGATGAGACTTCAGATAAGATTGAACAAAATATATCTGGTCTTTTTCCTTAGATTCCTGGGTCCCTGCAACTGTAAACTTGGATTCTTCTTTGTCAAATAAAAATAATCCATAAAACTACTGAAATTAATTTACCTAATTTAATCTTGTTTTTCAGTTCATAAAGGTCTTATATTCCAATTAATTTTAGTGAAGACTATTCATCAATGAAACTGTGTGTTTTTTACTTTTTGTTCATTATATTAATTTTCTAAATTTGCCATTTGTGAAAATAACTTTACCCAACCCTATGTATTCACTTTAAATTTTGAAAAAGTACCAAGAATTGCTTAGATTTAACAAAAGATTGCTTATTTGACTTTTATCCAACTTTTGATGCTAAAAAAGCGACTTTTTGTTGAATCTTAGCGATTTTTTGTTGCTTATTTAACAGCCATTCCACTTTTATAACCAACTTTTATTTCAAAATTTGGAATGTGGATTTTGAATTAGCCAAGGTCCATGTCCATGTTCTTCTCATGTACACAGTCATATGATCCAGATATCCTGTTGATATGAGAGGACATTCTGTTGCAACCATTCTTAATAATGTAAAAATTATTGGTATAAAAAGTAAGTACTTGAAACAATGGATATTAATTTCTACGTTCAAAATCGTCTTTTTGGGTAGATATGTTTTGAGAATTGGGTTTTTTTTAAATTATAAAATAACGACAACAAAAAATATAGTGAAAGTTCTATGTAAACTAATTGGATGTTTAGGAACATTTTTCTCAAAAGAAATTTATCAATGTTAGAATCAATTATTTCGTTTTCATCTGTTATCCATATTTCTGTACTAAAATACTGTGTTAAAAAGTATACAAGCTGTGCTATTTGTTTACAATGAGGAAGCTGTTATCCATATTTCTGTGCTAAAATACTGTGTTACAAAGTATATAAGCTGTGATATTTGTTTACACTGTGGAAGCTGTTATCCATATTTCTGTACTAAAATACTGTGTTACAAAGTATATAAGCTGTGATATTTGTTTACACTGTGGAAGCTGTTATCCATATTTCTGTACTAAAATACTGTGTTACAAAGTATACAAGCTGTGCTATTTGTTTACACTGTGGAAGCTGTTATCAATATTTCTGTACTAAAATACTGTGTCACAAATTATATAAGTTGTGATATTTGTTTACACTGTGGAAGCTGTTATCCATATTTCTGTACTAAAATACTGTGTTACAAAGTATACAAGCAGTGATATTTGTTTACACATTGGAAGCTGTTATCCATATTTCTGTACTAAAATACTGTGTTACAAAGTATAAAAGCTGTGCTATTTGTTTACAATGTGGAAGCTGTTATCCATATTTCTGTACTAAAATACTGTGTTAAAAAGTATACATGCTGTGATATTTGTTTACACTGTGGAAGCTGTTATCCATATTTCTGTACTGAAATACTGAATTACAAAGTATACAAGCTGTGATATTTGTTTACACTGTGAAAGCTGTTATCCGTATTTCTGTACTAAACTACTGTGTTACAAAGTATACAAGCTGTGCTATTTGTTTACACTGTGGAAGCTGTTATTCATATTTCTGTACTAAAATACTGTGTTACAAAGTATACAAGCTGTGATATTTGTTTACACTGTGTAAGCTGTTATCCATATTTCTGTACTGAAATACTGAATTACAAAGTATACAAACTGTGATATTTGTTTACACTGTGGAAGCTGTTATCCATATTTCTGTACTGAAATACTAAATTACAAAGTATACAAGCTGTGATATTTGTTTACACTGTGGAAGCTGTTATCCATATTTCTGTACTGAAATGCTGAGTTACAAAGTATGCAAGCTGTGATATTTGTTTACACTATGGAAGTTGTTATCCATATTTCTGTTCTGAAATACTAAGTTACAAAGTATACAAGCTGTGATATTTAATCAGTGAACCAATACTATTAAATAAAACTAGATTTAAAAATCTATAATTTATGTAAAAAGATTGCATATTAAAGTTGGAGTAGTTAATAAATTTTTTAGCAGGAAAACATTTTGTCTAGATTATGTCTGCGTAAACACTGCTGTCAACCATAAACTATGATATGTGTAAAGTCGTCTTTAACTTAGAACCCCCTCTCGGAGAGACTAAAATCCAAACCAAATATTTTTAAGCTCCGGGTCCTTTGTTCCCCCATCGGAGTGTAAATAACCTAAAGCATTGTGAATCCATACATTTTCAAAAGTTAAACAAAGAATATTTTCACATAAAGAATTAGTGACTTTCGTTAATAATTAATTGTCATTCTTTTCAGAAGTTTAAAAAAAACATCTCAGGACTGTCCCACGACTTAACCCTTGATATCACAAAATAGATCGTAAGAATCTTTTCATTATAAACATTCATTGTAACAATTTTACATGCTATTATTTATATAATTTTTTTCCAGAAAAATAAAGAGTTTTCTTCGTTATCGGTTTTGATTTGAGGGTTATACTGTTGTTTCTCTGTTCATCATTGAGAATCTTGATGCTATCTGACAGCAACTGCAGAATATACGCAAATTGTCTCTTTAATTACCTTGATATAGCACATTTGGAAAGAACTAGTATTTTCTGTATTATCCCAACTCCAGTACAAACACAACTTGAATATGACAAATCAGGTTGATGAAATATTGTTACTAGAAATATTTAGTCTAGACTCTGGGAAGACATCATAATCGAAAGCAATATCTATCTTATTGGAGACCCCAAGTTTTTCATTGGAGACCCCAAGCTTTTCATTTTAGTAGAAACCGCTGGAATTTTGGGATTTAAAGTAAAAAAACATCATTTTTTAATTGTTGAAGAGTTGGCTCTGTGTTAAATAATATACCAAATTTTATAATAGCCATGGCTTTAAAATAATATACTTCCAACAGCGTTGAATTGAACGACATTAGTAAATTAAACATGTGCGTGAAGCGCCAATAAAATCGGATTGTCTAGTGTCTTTTCTTGTATTTCTTAGTGTCTATTAGTCCCTGGCTTAGTCATATTCACTATGCATATAAAGTCCCAAATTACAGTCTACAGTAGTTTTTGTAATTCATCCACTAGTCATTTGTCCACTATATAGTCCCTTAATCATAGGTCTGTGCCGTCCTAAGTAGTTCCTGGCAGTGCTTGACTTTATGTTTCGTCTGTCCATAAGCCATTATAGTCTTTCTGGTCAAAGTCCCTCTGTCCTTGTTTGCCAGTATGGGGCTTACCCTGTTTTCCTCTTGTAGTCTGCAAAAGTCCTAATAGTCTGATATTATTTCTTATTATTCTTCTTAGGTTGTCAGGTTTTGTGCAATCTAAAATGGTATATGCATTGTAATACTCATAAGTAGTAACATATGTACATGTTTTTTAAAGAGGATAAATTAAGAATGACTTGTTTTCTATATGTCGAAAACGAGAAAAATGTTGGTATTTTTTTTCTTCATTGACAAAATTCGATAAAAGATGGTCCACAATCATGATCATGCTGGAAGGGGGCACAGTTTGCTGAGGGGGGGGGGGCGAAACTCGGTTTTATCAAAGACCATGGGATTTTCATCTGAAACGTCCAAATCTTTATAAGGGACCCACAGATCATCACCGGAAACCCCATAACTTGCCTGTAAGACCCCCAATGAAAATCTTGGGGTCTACAATGAAAAGTTCAAGGGTTTTGACTAAGATTTGGGGGGGGTCTCCTATGAATTAAGCTTAAGGCCTCCAATAGTCCTCCAATGAAGATAATTTCTTCCCTTACTGGGAATATTTATAAACTAAAGTAATTAGCTTGATATAAATATATAAATATTTCAAAAAAACCTACTTCATCGTCCCAACATTGAATTGCACACTCCTCCCAAGTACTAGAAAACAAATTTATTAAATACATAGAATGAATGTTATTGGTTCAAAGTAATTAATTATTTAGTTAAAAAGTTACGTTGCATTATTTCCCAATCTCAAATCCTCTCCTGTGCAATCTACTTCATCAGCTGGACATCCAATAGTACTGTTAGCCCCAGCTTTCTCTAGATAATATACAATAAATAATTGTCAAGTTCAATAGTACTGTTAGCCCCAGCTTTCTCTAGATAATATACAATAAATAATTGTCAAGTTCAATAGTACNCTGTTTTCAAGAGCTTCTCTACAGAATTCTAGACCATCATCCTGAGGTATATTTGTGTACAATCCTGTAACATCTACAGAGAATAGAATAGAGTTGGCTGGTAAATTATCTTTGTTAATTTCTTCAATACATCTCAAAAAATCTGGAGTATCCTGAAGATAAGATGGGTGTAAGTTGGAAAGGGGTTTCAGAAAACTGTCCACAAATAAACTTATATTCTCTGTGTAACTTCCTGAGCCACTGATAATAGGCCTACTTGGTGGAGTATCTCCTGGAATGTGAGTTTTATATACTTTAAACAGCTGATAAAACTTTGCTGGATTCTTGTCATCAGCCAGCATAGCTTTAAGTTCTTCAGTTGGGATGAAATTCTTATCAGCTGCAGTATCTAAAACAGACTTTATCTGTTTCTTTGTTTCTTCAACTTCCTTCTCTTCAACTTGTACATAGTACGGATTTAGTGTTCCATTCTCTTGCAGTTGTTGGTTAGAAAGTTCGTTCAGAAAGGATTCCATATAACTCTCAAACTTCAGAACTATGATTCCTGCACCCTTATCACAAGGTTTTATAGTGATCACTCGGTTTCTCTGAAGACTGATCAACTCTTTAAGAGCTTTTAATTCTCCAGGAGGTAGGTTAGATCAGAGCTGAAAACTTTAGAATGGGATATCCTTAATCCCGATCTGTTAACTAATCTGGAGATTGAATTCATTTGAAAAACAAGCCATATTTAATCTTGAGATTAAGAAAAAAAGTGTATTAAGCATTAATCCTGATATCCACCATTCTAAAGTTTTCAGCTCTGAAATTATTTCTATTCTCTGGGTCTAGGATTTCTGATTTAACTGCATGACAAAACATTTTAAGCTCTTCTGGTGTTTATGATTACGAGGAAGGTTAGTTTTTTCCTTTCTGAAGATTGAAGGATGATATTCATGGTCGTCTTCCTGAGTGGAAAAAAACTCCCTCCAGCGAAGTTTCCTTTCAAATTTAGAAAAATCCACTAAAACCTGTGAAAGATTGAGAGATAATGGGGTAATAGCAAAGCTTAAACCTCTGTTGAGAAGATTTTCCATGTCTTGAGAAAGTTCTATACCAGAATAGTTAAAAACCACATTTAGCTTTTTCCTAGATTGTTTTCTTTTCAGTCTCTTCCATTTTGACTTCTTTATCCATTTTCTCTTTTGTTTTGGGGGATTTTCCTCTGAGGTAACTATAGGTTTATCTTGTGCATTACATTTCTTGGACAGCCAGATGAGTTTTTTTGTTCTAAGTTTTACAAACATATTCTGATATGCTGCATTCTTCAAAAGTAGGCGTTCTCTAATGGTTTGCCACGATTCTTCTGGATTTAACAAAAACAATTCATCTCTTAATTTTTCTNTACCTATTCTCTCAGGCCTTTTTCTAGGGGGGGGGGCGCCGAACGCCCCCCCCCCAGGATATACATAGATTCAGACCCACCAGCCTTTATAGAGTTAAAAAGGTAAAACCCAAAAAGTTTTTGCTAACTTTTTGCTATCAGCAAAAAAATGTTTATAGATCATTAATTTCCTTGATTCTCTAAATATTGACCTAAAAATACAAAAAGAAAAACATTCAAACTATTTGGAAAATAACAAATGTAGAGCAAAAATTCAACAAACAACCAAATATTTTGAGGCAACATTTTTAAAACATTAAAAGGCGGGGAAATTCAGCTAAACTTATTGTTAGCTAAAACTAAGATGCTTGAGTTGTTTTTCTTTATTACAAAGTTTTAAAGGGACAGACCGGTATGTAAGATAGTTGAACTGAGTATACAGTGTTATGAAGAAATTCATTAGGATTCATTAAGACATAAATTTTTTAAATATCTGTAAATCCTGAGTTTGAGCGTAAAGTCGACGTTAAAAATTTACTTTTCAGTGGATACGTTTTCAGAATTGCTTTTATTTTAATTATTAAATAACGACGATGGAAAATGTAAACAAAATTCTACAGTAAACTAATTAGTTGTTTAGGAACAGGTTGAGAAAATAAAAATTAATCTTATCATCGAAAATAAGGAATCTTGAGCTGAAAACTTTAGAATGTGATATCCTTAATCCCGATCTGTTAATTAATCTGGAGATTAAGTTCATGAGGAGTATAAGCAATATTTAATCTGGAGATTAAGAAAAAGAGTGGATTAAGCATTAATCCCGATATCCATCATTCTAAAGTTTTCAGCTCTGTTCAAATATTAGTTTCTGTTTTTTCATTATTCTAGTTTCTCATTATTCACAAAGATTTTCTGCAGATTTTCTGGAATTACAATTGAAAAGACGACATTTGAAGAATTTGCAGAAATCTGCGAATAAATTCATCGAAAACAAGAAATGCAATATAATGATGAAACCTAAATAATTGGTTCTAGCATTGATTTATTGAAAAATTTCTTTTGAGAAATATGTTCCTAACCATCTAATTAGTTTACTGTATAAATTTTACTGTATTTTTCGTCGTCGTTATTTAATAATTTAAAAAACCGATTCTTAAAACGTACCCACCCAAATTCATGATTTTGAAAGTCGAGTTTGCACTCAAACCCAGTGATTATACATCGTGGAAAAGTTTTATATGTCTCACTCTCAAATGAGTCCTAAAGAATTTGTCCACAACACTAAATACTCACTATAACTACCCTAACATAGCCGGTCTGTCCCTTTAAGTATTTGCTATTTACTAAACAAAACTCTATCTTAACTAACGGATACAAATGTTAAGCCCCCTGGACAAATTCCTGCATACGCCCCTGATCAAAGTAATTAGTATCAAATTAACTAAACATAAAGTTGTTCAAACAATTAAATAATAGAGATTTTATATAAAACTAGATAAACCTTAAATATTTTATATAATAATAAGGATAAGGGTTGGCATCGTTTATCATTTTCTAAACGTTCAAGTTTCTTAAAATTTGTTTCTTAGCAGATTTATGAGACTTTATTTATGAATCTATTTATGAATCTATTATGAATCTATTATGAAGCTATTATGAATCTATTATCAATCTATTATCAATCTATTATGAATCTATTATGAATCTATTATCAATCTATTATCAATCTATTATCAATCTATTATCAATCTATTATGAATCTATTATTGTATATGAAAGAAAATAAATCAATGCAAACACTTGTATTATTAATATTCAACGAGTCGGTTTTTCTTACAGTTTATTATTTACAAAGATACAAAAATAAAACGGTTGATACTATACTAATAAAATATTATGAATTGAAGCAGTTTCAGAGTGATGGGGAATCTTCAAGGGAACCTCAGTTTAAGGGAGCTGATGATCAACTGACTCTTTTTCCCCAGATTTCGCTCCACCCTAGGTTAGCATTTAACCCTAG